ACCCGGGCCTTCACACTGAGCTTCATCCCCAACCCTTGTTTATTTTTTTAGATTTTGAGACAGGATCTCACTAAGTTGCTGAATTGTCCAAACTGGGCTTAAACGTGCGATCCTCCTGCTTCAGCCTCCCGGAGCCCTGGGAGAGCTGACATGCGCCATCCACACCCGGCTTAAATCTTCCTATCTCAATAATGTCCTTCAGAGTTGTGTTTTTGTTTTTAAATTATGCTCTCCTAGGTTATTATGCCTCTTTCATCGCCTTTAATCTAGAGCAGTTCTACTTCTTCCTTTTCAGTCATTCGTGTGAGCCCTGTGATTTGGATTTCTGGATTTGTCCAGTTATTGTTTCTTCATATTTCTTTGTGATTTTTGCTGTTTCTGTTTCAGCACACCATAGCTGGAGGCACATAGTGTCGGTTTGACCCATAACTGAAGGTGTCTGACCACCGAATTTACCCACTAAAATATACCTTTCCCTCTCTGTGAATGAGGAGTCATGTGTGAGGTGGTTTGCTTGCTTGCTTGCTTGTTTGTTTGTTTTTAGTCAGGGCTTTGCTGTTAGCCCAGGCTGGCCTCAGACTCGCTGCAGTCCTCCTGCCTCAGCCTTCTCAGTGCCGGGGTGACAGGTGAGCGCCACCATACCCAGCCAGACACTCTGTAATTCTGTCCCCTTGTTTCCTTTTTTTGGTACCAGGAATTGAACTCGGGTCCTTGCGCTTGCAAGGCAGTCGGTGGAACCACTAAGCCAAATCCCCGGCCCTGTCCCCATGTTTTCTTAGAGCATGACTGGGGACCCTGTGTTCTGGAAGTCTTCAGAGAGATCGTTTTCTTTGTAAATGCTTCTATTTTACTTTTTTTTTTTTTTTTTTTGGTACCTGGGATCAAACTCGGGTGCTTGCGCTTGCGAGGCAAACGGCAAAACCACTGAGCTAAATGCCCGGCCCTATATTTTACTTTTTAAAAAGGAAAGGTTCTGATATAAAGGTATTCGTTATTGAGACAAAGTTCTGGTTATCCCTCCCCAGTACATCATTTCTTGGTGGAGTAGACATCCATTTGTAGGGTTTCCAGCAGGCCTGTAACATTGTAAACTGGTAGACTCGGGGAGTTTTACTTTATTTTATTTTACTTTGCTTTATTTTTTGAAGACAGGCTCTCACTATGTAGCTCAGGCTGGTCTTGAACTCTCAGTAATCTTCTTGCATCAGCCTCCCGAGTGCTGGGACTACAGGCGTGCGCCAGCACTCTGAGACTTTTATGATGAGTGTCCGGGGCCTGTGTGGTTTGTGCCCTGGCCTGGTCACATCCAGATGTGTGAGGCAGTATGGATGCCTCGGCTTCCCGTAGCCCGTGGTGTGTGTGCTTGGGCCGGGCTGTGTGAGATGCTGCCGCCTCCGTCAGTGCTGTCCTTGGCCTCAAGTCGAAGCAGTGGATTTTCACAGTGAATCCCTGGCCCCTTTGCAGAGGAGCCTGCGACGCCTCCAGGTACAAATCATGCCGTGGCCGTGCAGCGCAACTTGAGACGGAGCTGCCTGGGAGTGGGCAGAGGACCACGGTGGGCCAGGTGCTGGGAGAGGGCCAGTGCAGTCGCCACACGGGGGCCGAGGGGTTGGACGGCTGGGTAAGCCCTAGGGACTGGGCAGGCCGTCGACTCACGCTGGGAGACGGAGCCCAGCGGAGGGTGCTGGGACAGAGTTAGGTTGTAGTCATAGAAACTGGGTGTGCCTGTCCAGCCTGAGTATTTCTGCCAGGTGCGGTGGTGCTCGCCTGTGATCCCAGCACTCGGGAGGCTGAGGCAGGAGGATCACAACGAGTTCAAGGCCAGCTGGGCTCATAGAGAAACCATCTCGAAAAACCAGTAAATAAATAAACTGGGTATTGAATGTGGTTACATGATAACCCCACAAATCACATTTCGTGTGTTCTGTTTGACAGAATCATTAAAGAGTTAAATGAACACAATTCTATGCTATGTAGCACATATTTACATCTAATTGTTTTTTAAATTTTAGTTGACACAGAATTGACTTATTTCTTGTGCTTCTGCATGAGGTGCAGCGTGGGATTTCGGTGCGTACACACGCCGGGGTATTGGTGTCCCTCTGGCCAGCGTTGCCGAGGTGTGGGGAACAGTTGTGCGCACGCGTGCACACAGACACACACGCCCCTGGCATTTACTCTTCGCTGTCTGGGAGTAGGAAGCAAGACCCTTCCCAGCCGTGGCAAAGTGTCTTTCTGCAGCAAAACTGCATATGATGTTTATCAAAATAAACCAGTTGCCGCTTACCCCTCCCAACTGCTATCCTTCCAATGGCTGTCTTAGAAAATAATGATTATGATTATGATGTGCTCATGATTGCAATCCCAAGACTGTCCTGACAAATCCTAAGAGGTCGGAAGTGCAGTATTTTGAGGTGGGGGGACTAGGGAGTGAACCCAGGGTCTTCACACTGAGCTACACGTCCAGCCCCTTTTTGATTTATTTTGGGACAGGATCTCGCTAAGTTGCCAAGCTGCCCAGGCTGGACTTGCATTTGTGATCCTCCTGCCTCAGCCTCCCAGAGTGCTGGGAAGCAGTCTACTCTGATAAAAACCGAGAACTTCTATAAAATTTGCCATAGCTAGTGCTGCATTTGTGCAGCATCCCCAGGGGCGGCAGATCCCATAGCATTTCTTTCTGAAAATGCAGTGGGCTCCTGCGGCGTGCCTGGGCTGTGGGGCATGTGAAGCACCGACTGGTGTGCTCATCCGCTCAGCAGATATTTAGTGAGCACTCTGGGGACCAGCGTTGCCCGGGTCCTGCAGACACGATGCTGAGGCAAGGACTTCTCCACCCGCTCCCCGCTCAGCAGGTTCGAGCCAGTGTGTCACTAAGGGGCGGGAGGTCATGTTGGAGCCCGCTGGCCCTAACTGTACAGCTGTGGGACCCTGAAACTGACATCCGGCCCATGTTCATGCTTGGTGTTGCCCCACCCGTGCCTTGTTCTGTGAGGACCCTGAAGGGAGCTGAACCCCCTGCCAAGCCTGTATCCGTTCTCTAACCCCACAGATCACTGGCTCTGACAGCCAGGGGCTGCCATAGGCCCCAGAGAGAGAGGGAAGGAAACAAGTCCTGGCAGGTTCTTCCCGGTGGGAGTTCAGTGAGGAAATCCATGGCTGGGTGTAGGGGCGCACGCCTGTGATCACAGCGCTTGGGAGGCTGAAGCAGGTTCAAGGCCAGCCTGATCCGCCTAGCAAGGCCCTGTCTCAAAAAACAAAAAGCAAAAGTCATGATTTGCTTGCTATCTGTTCTGATTTCTCAGTCTTGGGATATGACTCATGCGATTAAAAAGTACATTGTATAGGGCTGGGGATGTAGCCCTGTGGTGCTGTCGCCTGCCTCGCAAGCGCAAGGTCCTGAGTTCGATCCCCGGTACAAAACCAAAAAAAAAGTACATCATATAATGAAGCGTCTCCCGGATATCAGGCATCCGATTGCACAGTGCAGTGACTGCTGGAGAGGGCTCTGTCCCAGCCGCTGAACTTGGGGGTCTTGAGCGTCTCTCAGTGGTCCCAGCCTCAAAGCGTCTTCAAAAGCCCTAAATAGACCCAGGCCCCGGCTGAGTGTCCCATGGCCTTGTCCCAGGCTAAAACCGGTCCTGGCCACTGCCCCGCCTCCTCCCTCGCTGGCTGGGGGCTCGGGGCTCAGCCCAGAAATAGCTCAGTGTTACTCGATCGGAGTCCCTCCAGGCTGGGCCGTGACAGTAGCAGATCTTTCGAGAACTGCAAGCCAGCACCTGGCCTTCCACATGCCGCCTGTCCCGACCCCATTCCTTGGACATAGGTAGTGCAGGGTTGCATGCAGCTCAGTGTCCTCCCTCGGGTAAAGTAATGTTCCCAGCCTGCCCCTCCCCTCACAGGAAGAGCTGGCAGGTGAGTCTGGGGAGGAAGCTGGGGATTTGATAAAACCAGCTCAGGCTGAGATGGGGAGCATGCTTGACAAGAGGACTCCCCGTGGGGCTGCAATGGCAAGGGCTCGGACCATGAGGCTCTTTCTGCTGTGACCAGACAGAGCACTGCTTCCTGGGTCCCCGGGGGTTACCTGCAAAGTGAGCCGTGGGGGTTTTGGCAGACAAAATCTGTGTTCTTTGTGTCAAACAATTGCTGCTTCCGTAACCAGCGATAGCACTCAGGGTTCTGCCTGTGTTTCAGAAGTTTTCACTTTTGGTTGTGTTGGGCTTGGTTTTCTTTGAGACAGGGTCTCACTATGTGGCCCAGGCTGGTCTTGAACTTGCAGCGATCCTCCTGCCTCAGCCTGCTGAGCGCTGGCATCACAGGAATGTGCCACCGTGCCAGGTTGTTGCTGACACTTTTGCACAAAATAAGAATATGTTTGGGGTGGCAGAGCTAGGCGGTTCTTTGCCCGGGGCTGACTCTGTGCTTTGCCATAAAGAACTGCAGGGCATTTATGGTCAGAGCTTCAGGGCCCCAGCCGGTACTTTCCTGAGGCCACAGAATGTCTACATTTTGAAAACACTGAAAAGCTGACATTCAGGTCAAGAATATTGATCTTGAGCCCACGTAGCAGTGCACACCTATCATCCCCACACGCGGAGGCTGAGGCAGGAAGATCGCCACAAGTTCAAGGCCAGCCTGAGCTACATAGAGAGACTCTGTCTCAAAAAATATATACATGTCAGAAAAGTATGTGTGTATTTTTATGTCTCTCTCCCTCTCTCTCTCTCTCTCTCTCTCTCTCTCTCTATATATATATATATATATGGAAACAATGTCTTTTTTGCTTTTGTTTTTTGGTACCAGGGATTGAACTTGGGTCCTTGCGCTTGCACAGCAGGAGGTGAAACCACTGAGCTAAATCCCTGGCCCATGTGTCTATATATATTGATCTGCAGTCTGCCAAGAGGGATATTTACTTTCAAACTGTGCGAATATTGACTCTAGTGGGTTAAAAGGAGAATGTAAAAAAGCAGCTCATCCACACCGGATTGTCTGTTGCCCAGGTTGTGAGCCATGGCTGTGTGGATCCAAGCCCAGCAGCTGCAGGGGGACGCCCTGCACCAGATGCAAGCCTTGTACGGCCAGCACTTCCCCATTGAGGTGCGCCACTACCTGTCCCAGTGGATAGAGAGCCAGGCCTGGTAGGTGAACAGTGTTTCCTGTCTTTATTTTTACTGGGGAGGGGGAGGCTTGAGAGAGGGTCTCACTGTGTGACCCAGGCTGGCTTCATACTCATGGCGATCCTCCTGCCTCAGCCTCCCCAGTCCTGGGATCACAGGCATACGCCGCCCCACCTGGCCAAACCAACACTTTTATCTGTATTTCCCTAATTTCTGAATACATATTTGGGGAGGGAGGAGCTGGCTGGTACCACAGCCTTATTTTCTTGTTTTATTTTGTTTGTGGGGGTGGGGATTAAATCCGGGCCGTGTGTGGCTGAGCCACGCAGCTCCTGCAGTGAGATACAGCCTCCCCCTGGGGACCCCGGCCGGCTGGCCCTGGGCTGCTGGACACCCGTGGCTGCCGTTGCCCATTGGTCGCAGATTACCAGTCAGAAATCTGAAGCCCCGGGACAAGCAGCTTTCTACGTAGTCACGCGGCTCTCACTTGGCCTCATTAGGACAGGAGAACCAGCGGCACGCAGAGCGGCAGGTGCGCCAGCTCAGCGCGATTCCATCCCGTCCTGTTTTCTTTCCTCATCAAATGACTCGGAGGACTGCGAAGAGCAGGGCCTGCCTGGCATCCCAGAGCCCCGGGTTCAAGCCCCACCACTGCACAAGGAATTTTTTTTTTTCCCCTCTTTTCGAAACAGGGTCTCAGTCTGTAACCCAGGCTGGCCTCCAACTTGCAGTCCATCTGCCTCAGCTTCCTCAGGGCTGGGATTATAGGTGTGTGCCCCTGCACCCGGCCCCTGGCACAAATTTAAAAATTTCATTTAGCCGGGCACCCAGAGTCTTAGCTACTTGGGAGACTGAGGCAGGAGGGTCACTTGAGACCAGCCTGGGCTACACAGTGAGACCCTGTCTTAAAAAAAAAATGCAGGGTGGGCATGGTGGCACACGCCTGGCATCCCAGCACTCTGGAAGCTGAGGCTGGAAGTTTGCTGTGAGTTCCAGGCCAGCCTGGGCTCCACAGCCACCCTGTCAAAAAACAAACAAAAAATACAAATAAAAGTCTCATGTAGCAGATTTCCCAGGTAGTCTTGCTACTGAATGAGTGCCAGAAAGACTTATTTACGTTGATATTAAGGAAAACCTGAATATTATGTAGCTTTGATTTTCTTAAGAAAATAAAGGTTTTCAAGAAAGGCCTTTAGTCCTTCATGTTGACCCAGCCTCCGTAAGACTGTTTTCTTTGCTTGTTTGTTTGAGATAGGGTCTCACTGTGTAGCCCAGGCTGGCCTGGAACTCACAGCAATCCTCCTGCCTCAGCCTCCCGAGTGCTGGGATGACAGGCATGTGCCACCAGGCCCGCCAAGATTTTCGTGTCTTCTTGAGACATCAGCCCTGGCATTCTGGCTCACAGTTTGAAGTGAGTTGCCCACCGACCTGGAGGCTAGACACGGAGGAGCCGTCAGCTGCACTGCTGTCCCATCTGGCTCGGTGCTTGAGGTGATGGATGTTTCAGCCTGGCAGCTGTCAGTGCCTTCACATGCCAGGACCCCAGTGCTGCCTGCTCACCACAGTGGCCCGTGGTGACCAAAGGGAGAGAAAAGGAGAGAGAGGGGAAGGAGGAATGGCTGTCATTTCCACCAGCTGAGCTGCTCTGAGTCAGAAGTGTGCAGTAGCCAGGTGCCGTGGCACACACCTGTGATCCCAGCACTTAGGAGGCTGAAGCAGGAAGATCTCCTGGAGTTTGAGGCTAGCTTGAGCTACACAGTGAGGGTCTGTATCAATCAATCAATCCATCAATAAATCAGTAAATAAATGAATGAAGAAGCCACTTGAGGGCCAGGGCTGTGGCTGGAGGCGGAGTGCTGACCTCACATGCCTGGCCCTGGGCTCCGCCCTGGGGTTCCTGTCGCCTTGGCAAGAGTAGGCAGGGATGTGCCTCTCAGCGCTGCGTGGTGCAGGTCCCTGAGCATGCATGTGTACATATCCTGTAATTTTTTTCCCCTAGGGACTCAATAGATCTTGATAATCCACAGGAGAACATTAAGGCCGCCCAGCTCCTGGAGGGCCTGGTGCAGGAGCTGCAGAAGAAGGCGGAGCACCAGGTGGGGGAGGACGGGTTCCTGCTGAAGATCAAGCTGGGCCACTACGCCACGCAGCTGCAGGTGTGTGGGTGCAGGCGGGCGGCAGGGTGCGCCCGGCTCGGGGCCCCCAGGGGTGTGTGTGTGTGTGTGCATCTCCTGCCCACAGTCCCCAGAGCAGCCCGCCTGGCCAGGCTGAGGGGTGTGGCAGATACGTGGGCTCTGATCACTTGCTTCTGTGGTTGCGGCTCGCTCTTACTTCTTATTCGTTTTGGGTGTGGTGGTGCACACCTGTCACCCCAGCACTCGGGAGGCTGAGGCAGGAGGATCGCTGCAAGGTTGAGGCCACCCTGGACTACATAGTGAGTTCAAGGCCAGCCTGGACTGCAGAGCGATACCCTGTCTCCAAGAAAAGAATTTGAACTTACAGAAAGTTGCAAGAATGACACAGACCCATACATGTGCCTGGAGGTAGCCACTGCCACCATTATGCACACGCTCGCACCCACGCACACAGGCACACGCGCCCTCACTCATTCATCTTTTAGCCACTGAGTGTGTCAGCACCGGGGCCCCTTTGCCCAGGCCCTCAGCAGGCTCTGCCTGCGCCAGCCGTGCTAGCTCCGCACCAGCAATCTGCAGGTCCCACGGTGACTCAGAAGTGTGCTTCAGGGCCGTCCCCCTCCGGCTCCAGGGTCCGTCCAGGATCCACACTGCACTTGGCTGTCACATCTCTTTAATCTCCTTTCACCTGGGGCCATTTTGCAACCCTGCTTTGTTGGCTATGTCTTTGACATTGATTTTTTTTTGAGACAGGGTCTTGCTATGTAATTCAGGCTGTAGTTGAATTTTTTTGGTACTGGGGATCGGACTTGGCACCTTGGACTTACGAGGCAGTGGAACCACTGAGCCAAACCCCCTGTAGTTGAATTTTTTTTTTTGTACCGGGGATCGCACTCGGGTCCTTGCGCTTGTGCAGCAGGCGGCGAAACCACTGACTAAATCCCCGGCCCTGTAGTTGAATTTTTTGAGATGGAGCCTTCACTACCTTGACCCAGCTGCCTCAAACTTCTGGGCCATGTGATCCTCCTGCTTCAGCCTCTGAGTAGCTAGAATATAGGCATTGCCACCAAGCCTAGGGTATTCCTACTTTGTTTGGCTTTAATTTTTGAGACAGGGTCTCACTAAGTAGTCCAAACTTTCAATCCTCCTGCCTCAGCCTCCCAAGTGCTGAGGTGACAGGTGTGCACCATCATGCCTGGCAGCCTCTTACTTTCTACCCCGTGACCACATGCGTGCTCAGGGACCTGCACCATGTGACACTCACCACTGCCTACAGTCACCATGGAGAGAGGGACCCTGGGGCGGGGCCCAGGGCTGGCATGTGAGGTCAGCGCTCTGGCCCCAGCCAAAGCCCTGGCTCAAGTGGCTTCTTCATTTATTTATTCTTACTTTGTTACTCCATGCACAGACTCACGTTGCACACCCCCAGTCAGAATTCTTCTCTTTATTTTATGAAAAAATAAAACAAAATTTCATAACAAAATAATAAGAATAATAATAGTTAACATGCTGCAAATCATTATCTTCAAAGTAGTTACTCAAAGTACAAGACATGAACCAAAAAGATTCTGAAAAAAAAGGAACAGATAGTAACACAAAACTTTCTTTTCAACAAACTGAGATAAACTAGTGCCAGCCCTGGTGGTGCACACCTGTCATCCTAGCACTCAGGAGGCTGAGGCAGGAGGATCGCCGAAAGTTCAAAGCCACCCTGGCCTACACAGTGAGACCCCCGTCTCAAAAAGCAAAGAACAGGGCTGGGGATTTAGCTCAGTGGTTCCTCTGCCTGCCTCGCAAGTGCAAGGTCCTGAGTTCGATCCTCAGTACCAAAACAAGAACAACAACAACAAACAACAGCAACAACAAAAGCAAAAAATAAACTAAGCAAGAATTCCAGCCACACACACAGTAGGTGCTGTCTTCTACTCGAGGCATCGCACTCGGGGCCCCGACACCCGTCCACCCTCACGGTGACTGTGGCCTGGCCCGGGAGAAGACCCCGGTCTGGGTGGCCCAGGCAGAGGTTACTCACCCGCTTTACTGGACATCGCCCCAGGACATTGGGGCCACAGAGGCGGGAAGAAGCCTGGCCTTAGCCCCGGGTTGGGCTTTCTGCTGCACAGTGCTTCCTGCTCCCCGGTGCCAGAGGAGCAGGTGGCCGCTGCCCTCTCCGCTGTCCCCAGGTCCTCCCCCTGACCGTGGTGTGACAGTGTGGTGGCTCTGGTCTTTCAGAACACCTACGACCGCTGCCCCCTGGAGCTCGTCCGCTGCATCCGGCACATCCTGTACAACGAGCAGAGGCTGGTCCGGGAGGCCGCCAGTGTGAGTGTCCTGCGTGGGGACGTGGGCCTGTCTCATGCAGCCCTCTCTGGGGCAGCTCTGTGTGGACGCCAGGCCGCACCCTGCAGTGTCCCCTTAGCTTTGTTCTCAGTCGGTGTATAACCTCGCTGAGACTGGAGCCGCAAGACCAAGGGAACAGGCACAAAATAAAATCTGACCCTTTGCCTGTTATCCCAGCACTTGGGAGGCTCAGGCAGGAGGGTCGCTGGAAGTTCAAAGCCAGCCTTAGCTACATAGCAAGACCTTGTCTCAAAAAGAAAATAAAACAGTTGAACCCCCACAGCACTGTGTGTGGGTACAGCATGCACACATCTGGAGAGGTTTCTTGCTCCCTAGGGGTGTTGAAGGAACAGGTCAACCTGGTCACTTAAGCAGCCGCGTCCTCACTGCTTGTTCATATGCCTGCTCCGGAAGCTCCTTGGGGGCCCTCCTGGTGCCCAGGACAGGGTCAGCCTGCCCCATGGTGGAGCCGGGTGACCCCATGCAGGGAGGGCAAGGACAAGGGGACTGGGGTCCCTTCAGCATGCCCCGCTAGCAAGCCTGCAGCTCCAGGCCCCTGAACAAGGTGGGGTGAGGGTCAGGGCCACAGAGGATGCCCGGTGCACCTGGCCCGTGCCGAATCCCCCTCTCCAGGGAAGCGGGGACCCCAGGTGGGACCCTGGTGTCGCTCAGGTCTGGAATAGGAAACCCTGCTCTAGAGCCGCCATGTCCGCATGGGCAGCTGTCCCTCCCACCCCAGCCCCTCGGCGACATCCCAATCCCTGCACCCCAACACCCAGCCCAGAGTGGGCCTGGCCCTGGCTCTTCCCAGGGTTAAAGCCATGCTGTCCCCCTTGGTCCACAGGGCAGTGCCCCGGCTGGAAGCCTGGCAGACGCCCTGTCCCAGAAGCACCTGCAGATCAACCAGGCATTCGAGGAGCTGCGGCTGGGGACACAGGACACGGAGAGCGAGCTGAAGAAGCTGCAGCAGGCCCAGGAGTACTTCATCATCCAGTACCAGGAGAGCCTGCGGCTCCAGGGTGAGCACGGCCGTCAGGGTCGGGGGCCAGGGGGCCCAAAGAGGACCCAGCTTCCTCTCAGGGACCCTGCCGAGCAGCCTGGAAAGGGCGGCTTCAGAGGGGGCAGGAGGGGGGTGCAGAGTGGCCCTGGGCCTCGGGATTTGTGCACAGCACGTGATGCACACACGCACTCCACGGAAGCGACATGGGTAGGAAACACAAAACCAGGCATTTGGGAGCCAGGGCGGGGCTCGTCAGCAGAGTCTGACTAGCGCATGCATCATCAGGGGTTCCACTCCCAGCCCTGAAAAAGAAAGAAAAAGAAAATCGTGGGTCTAACAAAACCTTCCAGAGCAAGCAGGGAGAGTGAGGCTCCAGGTGGTGTCGCTGGTCACCAGCATCCGGCCCTGTGTCCTGTTCAGGGGTCAGACAGGTCCCCCTGCCACCACGGGCAGCCACAGCGCCCCCCAATGGCGCTCATGAGGGGAGGCAGAGACCCCACAGGCAGCCCCCACGCCAGGGTCACCGCCAGCCCTCTCGGCTGTGGGTGGAGCTGCACAGTTTCCTGTCTGCGGCCTGGGCTGCTCCAAATCTGAGTAGCCGGGCACTGCCAGCCCTGTGCACGAGACTCCGAGGAGGAAGCGTGTCTGTTAGCCCCACCCCCAGACAGAACAGTGGCTGAAACAGAGCGACACTGAGCCACACTGAGCCCTGCCACAGGCTGAGCCAGGCAGGTCTTCCTCCCTCTGAATCCACCCCAATGGAGCCAGCGAGGCCCGGGCTTCCCGGGGTGGGAACAGAGACTCGGGCGAGGGTCCCTGCCTGCCTCCTGCGCTGCTGACAGAGGGCCGAGCAGGAATCCACGGAGAACTGAGCGTGCACCAGGCAGCTCCTGAGCACTTCCTGGGTCCTCGCTTATTCAACCTCCACAGCGGCCTGCAGAGCCCGGACCTCAGGTGGGGAAAGGGAAGCAGGGGAGAGCTAGCGAAGTGTCCGGACTCACCTGGCCAGAGCTGGGCACACAGGTGCCACCGAAGGCAGGGCAGGGCAGCAGCAGGTCCGAGGGCTCCGCCAGGAGGTGGTGGCAGAGTCCAGCTGCCCGCGGGAGCCCTGGACTCGGGGCCGGGCTGCAGGAGGCCCAGCGGCCGAGGACGGCGTCCAGCACTCGGGTCTGCCTCAGAGCTCTGCCCCGTGTCCTCTGCCCTGGGCGCCCGTGGTGACTCGGTGCCCCCCCCCCAGCCCAGTTCGCACAGCTGGCCCAGCTGAGCCCCCAGGAGCGGCTGAGCCGGGAGTCAGCCCTGCAGCAGAAACAGGCGACGCTGGAGGCCTGGCTGCAGCGCGAGGCGCAGACGCTGCAGCGCTACCGCGTGGTGAGTGGACCCAGGCTGGGCTGGGCTGGGCCGGGCCGGGCCGGGGCGGGGCGGGGCGGGCGGCGAGGAGGGCGCTCAGGGCCGTGTCCCCCAGGAGCTGGCCGAGAAGCACCAGAAGACGCTGCAGCTGCTGCGCAAGCAACAGACTGTCATCCTGGACGACGAGCTGATCCAGTGGAAGCGGCGGCAGCAGCTGGCGGGGAACGGAGGCCCCCCCGAGGGCAGCCTGGACGTGCTGCAGTCCTGGTGAGGCCGCGTCCCTGTCCCGCTCTGGCCCCGGGAGGAGCGTCATGGGAAGTGGCCCGGGGTGGGAGCCCGAGGCGGTAGGGCCAGGTCGGGCTGAGCCGCGTCCCCCACCCCGGAAGGGCTTTGGCGGGCGAGGGCCGGGCGCGTGGCGGGGGGAGGGCTCCCGTCCCCTCCTGTCCCATCCCGGGGGAGCCATCGTCCCGCCTGGCCCGCAGGTGTGAGAAGCTGGCCGAGCTCATCTGGCAGAACCGGCAGCAGATCCGCAGGGCCGAGCACCTGTGCCAGCAGCTGCCCATCCCTGGGCCGGTGGAGGAGATGCTGGCTGACGTCAACGCCACCATCACGGACATCATCTCGGCCCTGGTCACCAGGTGAGTCCGGCGCCCGGCCCGCCCCGCGCTTGTCCCCACAGTGCCGCCCGCCCCACCCGCCCCACCAGCAGGCCTGTCCCCATGTCCCGCAGCACCTTCATCATCGAGAAGCAGCCCCCGCAGGTGCTGAAGACACAGACCAAGTTCGCGGCCACCGTGCGGCTGCTGGTGGGCGGGAAGCTGAACGTGCACATGAACCCGCCGCAGGTGAAGGCCACCATCATCAGCGAGCAGCAGGCCAAGGCCCTGCTCAAGAACGAGAGCACGCGCAAGTAGGTGTCTCCGGCCCCGAGGCCCCGCCAGGGAAGTGGGAATCCGTGCCCTGCTGTGTCTGGTTCGTGTCGTGGTCAGGACTGAGCACGTGGCTTGCTTGGTTCACGCACGTGGCCACCACTTCCTGTCAGCGCTGCTGTCCTCAGCAGCCGTCTCTGTTGCCCCTGCCCGGGTGTCCCCAGCGCCAGGCGCTGAGCCCGCGGGTTCCCCAGCTGTCCCCTGTGGTTGCAGCGAGAGCAGTGGCGAGATCCTGAACAACTGCTGCGTCATGGAGTACCACCAGGCCACCGGCACACTCAGCGCCCACTTCCGCAACATGGTGAGGGCGCAGCGGGTGGGCAGGGGGTCCCCTGGGGGGCCCATGGGCCGCATCTCACTCACCCCCTTCACAGTCTCTGAAACGGATCAAGAGGTCGGACCGGCGAGGGGCAGAGTCGGTGACGGAGGAAAAGTTCACCATCCTGTTCGAGTCACAGTTCAGCATCGGTGGGAACGAGCTGGTCTTCCAGGTCAAGGTGAGGCCTCCCACAGCCGGGTTCCTGTGCAGGCCCCAGGTGCATGCCCCCGTGTGTGCACCTGTGCAGGTGTGTCAGTGTGCGCAGTGCATTTTGTCACCAAAGAATTGTGCTCCCAGGGAAGCTTTCGTTTCTCTGGTCCTGGAGATTGAACCCAGGGCCTGGCACTGAGCTCCAGCCCCAACCCCCTGCCCCCCTCTCTTTATTTTGAGACAGGGTCACACTAAGATGCTAAGTTCCCCAGGCTGGGCTGGAACTTGTGACCCTCCTGCCTCAGCCTCCCAGAGAGCTGCGAGTGCAGATGTGCAGATGTCACACGCAGCGCAGCGTGTAATACCTTATCTTTGACTGTTGACAAAGAGAACAGCTTGTCCTTGGAGCTGTCCTCTCTTGAGATTCTGTTAAGACAGGAACTCCTGATGACAAGGTGACATCACTGGAGGGGTAGGTACAGAATGGATCACTGGAAACTACTCCTCGTGAATTGGGAAAGATTGTTGGATTTTAAACATGTCTTGTGGGATTTCCCCCCAAAGTGTCTCCTTACTCTTTCTCTTTTCTCTCACATTCTCCCTGTGACCTTGAGACACTTACTCCACCCTTTAGAAGCATCTAAGCAACAAGCGGGCATGGTGGCAGTTGCCTGTAACCCCAGCACTCAGGAGGCTGAGGCAGGGGGATCACCCTGAGTTTGAGGCCGTCTTGGGCTACATAGTGAGGCCCTGTCTCCAAAAAATAAGTAAATAAGAAGAAGTATCTTAGCAACATCTCATCTAAGATGCTGAACGTGCCAAAGCCTGTGGCTCTGTGACAGCCTCGAGGTCCCTGGAGCCATTCAGGGTCCAAGTGTGCGCTTGGACAGCAGCGCTGCGGCAGGAGGCCGGGAAGAACGGCCCCTCACTGTGTCTTTCAGACCCTGTCGCTCCCGGTGGTGGTGATCGTCCACGGCAGCCAGGACAACAATGCCACTGCCACCGTGCTGTGGGACAACGCCTTCGCCGAGCCCGTAAGTGGGGTCCCTGGGCCGCAGGGCTCCGGGCTTCGAGTCTTTCCCATGCGTTCTCCCCAAAGAGCAGAGAGGAGCAGGAGGTGTGGGGCGGGTGTGGGCTTGAGGTCGCCCACGGCACCATCCTGCGGGCGCCAGGAGCCTTCATTAGGCCACAGAGCAGGTGTGTGTCTTGTCACTGGGACTCAGCAAATATTTCAAATTTCGGGGGAGACCTGCCTGGGGCCCGGGACTCAGGGCTCCTCCTGGAAGCGACTTCAGCTAAGGGCCATCTTGCTCCAGGTAAATGCAGTGTCACCTGCCCTGTCCCTGCCCTGGGACACCGTGACACTGTGGGCTCTCGAATCTCTGCCACCAGGGGCACGGGGCAGAGGGGCTCCAACCTCCTTCCTATCCCCACGCTGGTCCAAGGCCTCTCCGGTGTAGCACCGAGTGGAGAGGGATGGGGAATGCACGGATCTTATGCTGTGCTTTGTGTTGAAAAACGGGGTAATTGCTGGCCTGCCTACCTGCAAAACTCCATTAGCAGCCTTTGAGGAGGGGGCTTTGAAGCCAGGGGCGGGGAGACACTTCATCGTGTATTCCTGTGCTTTCTGAACTTTATATCATGGGAAGGAAGGGTTTATTCAGAAACCATTTCAGGCCGTGTGTGGTGGCCTGTCATCCCAGCACTGGGAAGGCTGAGGCGGGAGGATCGCTGTGAGTTCCAGGCCAGCCTGAACCACATAGCTAGACCCTGTCTCAAAAAACCAAAACCAAAACCAATGTTATAACAATTAAAACAAAGTGCTGCGGCAGAACAGAATGAAAGCACCTTATTAAAAGTTCATATTAGCCGGGGATTTAGCTCAATGGCACCGTGCCTGCCTCACAAGTGCAAGGTCCTGAATTCGATCCCTGCTACTGGAAAAAAAAAAAAGTTATTGAAATTTCCAGTCCCCCATGCTGAGCTGTGTCACGTGGCAGGTGTCCGGGCAGCAGTGCACATGTGCACATACATGTGCATCGTGCACGCGCATGCACACACACAGACACACACACACACAAGCACATCTCCCGCTGGACCGAGGCAGCCCTCCTCCTGGTCCTGGGTTCCCTGTGAGCCTGTGCCATGGAGCCAGGCCGGGCTTAGGCTTGGTTTCCATGGTGTTGGGACCTGAGGTTGGGCCGGCAGTTGCCTAGGAAACAGCAGACCTTGGACACACCACTGGGGACGGTGAGAAGGGACCTCCCACGTGGCATGAGCAGACCCTGGGCCATGCAGAGCCCCTCAGGCATGGCAGGGCACACGCAGTGCCAGCTGCCTGCTGTCCTTACCTTTCTTTTGCGGTGTGGGGGAATCGATCCTGTATTCTCTCATCGTCCTGGCTTCTTGCCCCGCAGGGCCGGGTGCCGTTTGCCGTGCCTGACAAGGTGCTGTGGCCCCAGCTGTGTGAGGCGCTCAACATGAAGTTCAAGGCCGAGGTGCAGAGCACGCGGGGCCTGACCAAGGAGAACCTGGTGTTCCTGGCACAGAAACTGTTCAACAGCGGCAGCAGCCACCTGGAGGACTACAGCGGCATGTCCGTGTCCTGGTCACAGTTCAACAGGGTGAGGGCCGCTGCCCGCTGCTCTTGGGTTGACTCCTCTGGACCAGAGTCCCCAGGGTCCCCGCGCTTGTGCCCTGACCTTCCGAGTGCAGATAAAGTGCACCAAGTAATAGGAGCCTCTGAGCAAAGGGCACCCAGAGTCTCTCTTGTGAAAATCCTGTCTTCATATTTTAAGTAAATTGGCCTTTGTGAACAGTTAATGCATTTTCTTCCTTTATAGAAGAAATAGAGGGCCGGGGATTTAGCTCAGTGGTTCCACCGCCTGCCTCGCAAGCACGAGGTCCCGAGTTCGATCCCCGGTAACACACACACAAAAAATAATAATAAAAGAAATAGAGCTGGGCGTGGTGGTGCACACCCGCAACCCCAGCGCTCGGGAGGCAGAGGCAGGAGGATCGCTGAGAATTTGCAGGCAGGCAGCCAGGGGGTATAGTGAGTTCAAGGCCAGCCTGGACTGCATAGCCAGAGCCTGTCTCAGATAAACACACACAGCTAGTAGAAGCGGGGGGTGCGTTCCTCCGGATTTCTCTGTCCCTGCAGTCTCACAGGGTGACGTAGCCCAGCCGCAGCTCTAGTGACGCCACAGGCTGTGATCCTGCGGCTCTGAGATGGCCCCCAAAAACGTGCACCCTCGGAGCTTGGGGAGATGCTGCGCTGCCAGGCAAAGGCAGCGAAACCCAGGACTCGTCTTCCCAGGCCCAGGAGGACGTGTGTGAAGGGTCCAGGCGCTGCTCGTGGCCCCGTGGCCCCTGGCCGGCTGCCCCGTCCCCCGCGTCCTGGGCTCGGTGACCTCAGAGCCTGGGGCTCCCTCGGTGCCACGTCCCCGTCATCCTCTAACTGCTCCCTGGCTTCCCCGCTCCTCTTTGTGTTCCTGCCCAGGAGAACCTGCCAGGACGGAACTACACCTTCTGGCAGTGGTTCGACGGCGTGATGGAGGTGTTAAAGAAGCACCTCAAACCCCACTGGAATGACGGGTGAGCGAGTCCTTCCCTAAGGCAGCCTGGGCTGAGCGCGAGGTGCGAGGCCAGCACTAACACGGCGCCCTCTGCTTCCCCTGCTCCTCGGGCCCCTGCGGTCCAGCGCCATCCTGGGCTTCGTGAACAAGCAGCAGGCACACGACCTGCTCATCAACAAGCCTGACGGGACCTTCCTGCTGCGCTTCAGCGACTCAGAGATCGGGGGCATCACCATCGCCTGGAAGTTTGACTCCCGTGAGTGGCCTCACTATGCAGCCCCTCGAACTCAGGACAGTCCTCCTGCCTCAGCCTCCCTGGTGCTGGGCTGACAGGAGTGTGGCACCGCTCCCAGCCAACCCCTCCAGGCCCCTCTCTTTAAGACACAGCTGTCTGCAGGGCTGCTTTTGTTGCAAAAACCTCTTTAGCAGTTGGAGGACTCACTGCTCACTGGGCCCAGAGCTAATGGCAGGAAACCCCCCGTGTCCCGTGACGCAGCTGCTGCTAACACAGGGTCCTGAACACAGCAGCGTAAGCGTGGGAGACGCTGCGGCACAGCTGCTGCCCTCTGCACATCCACCTCATTGTTACCCAGAGGAGACACAGCCCCAGCTCTGACGCTCAGGTCTCCATCGGGCCCTCTGTGACTAACAGCAGGGGACAGGCAGGGGCCGTTTCTGCCCGGCTCCCTGTATAGAGCCGCGGCTTAGCAGGAATTGTTTCTTCTGGAGCAGGCCAGATGCTGCCTGGCCCGGGACTGACCTTGTGGCTGTGGGAATGGCACGTGCCGCCCCACTTCTCCGCCAGGGCTCTCAGGAACCGCTCTCTCTCCTGCCAGTGCTTACGTTAAAATGGAGATTTAGCTCAGTGGCACCGCACCTGCCTCGAAAGCACAAGGTCCTGAGTTCAATCCCTGGTACCAACCCCCCCGCCCCAAACCAAAAAAAACCCCAAATCCAAAAAATTTAAAAACATAAAATGGAGATTTGCACCAGACATAATGGCTCACGCCTGTCATCCCAGCACTCGGGAGGCTGAGGCAGGAGGATCGCTATGAGTTCAAGGCCAGCCTGCACTCCACAGGGAGACCCCATCTCAAAAAGAGGAAGACACTCTGGTGAGAGTGTGGCTGCTTCTGTTTTCTGGTGCAGAGGAGAGGATGTTCTGGAACCTGATGCCCTTCACCACCCGGGACTTCTCCATCCGGTCCCTGGCCGACCGCCTGGGGGACCTGAACTACCTGATCTACGTCTTCCCTGACCGGCCGAAGGACGAGGTGTACTCCAAGTACTACACGCCCGTCCCCTGCGAGCGTGACACCGGTAACAGGCCTCATGTCCCGGTTCCATTCAGTTGTGCCTTTGCTTTTGGTCTTTCTGCTGTGAGTCTCCGCGCGCACACGTGTGCATGTATGTGAGTGTGTCTTGCACGCCCCTGGTACGGCCAGTGTCCAGTCCCTGCTGTCCACGTATCCAGGGGTGAGAGCCCAGTGTTGCACGCCTGCCTCGTATGCCACGGCCGCAGACGGCAACCCCAGGGCTCCTCAGTGAGCTCCGGGCCAGCCTGAGCGACTCAGCCGGACCCTCCCCGAAAAGGAGCAGCCGGGGTGGCCAGGCAGGCAGGGGTTGCTGGGCACAGGCCGCAGCCAGCAGCACGGAGGCCAGGGTGCAGTGGGCCTGGGGTCCAGGTGAGAGCCCCGCTTCTTCACACCATACTTCATTTTCCGTATTTCGGCTTTTCCCACTGAGCACCGAATCCTGGGCTGAGGTGCCACAGGTCAGCACTGCAGGCTGCAGGTCACCTCAGCGATTCTGCAGAATGCCGTGAGGTGGAGACACCGGGCTTGGCACCGCATAGCTAAGACACTTAGTGCTCAGTGCGTTCACATTTTTGTTGTGATCAGTGATGAGATAACCTTATACGTGTATCTGGTTAACCATTTCCTTAAGATAAATGCTTTCTCCTTTTTTTTTTTTTGTACCATGGATCGAACTCAGGACCTTGTGCTTGAGTGGCAGGCACCAGAACCACTGAGCTACATCCCTGGCTTCCTTTGGTTTTTTTGAGACCAGGTATTGCTGGGTAGCCCAGGCTGGTCTCGATCTCGTAGTGATCCTCCTGCCTCAGCTTCCTGAGTGCTGGGACCTTCAGATAAATTCTTCAAGTAGAATTTGTGTCAGAGGGTCTATGTTTGCTAAGATTTCTGAGATAGAAGAATCCAGGCCCACTACCCAGAAGTAGGCAGCTGCTTCTCTGAATAGTGTACGGTAGTGTCCTATGGGTGTCACTTCCACTGCTTTGATTCTGCGAAACCACAAACATCTTTTCATTGATGATGACCACAATGATAAATAGTCCAGTAACTGCAGCTCTCATTGTTCTGTGCCTACTGTGTGCCTGGAACTTATTGGAGCATTTTTCCTATCATACCTCAGTTCATCCTCAGAGCCACTCTGTGAAGGAAGCATTCGGTTTTCCCCATTTTCACAGATAAGGAAACTGAGGCCCAGAGAAATAAACTCATTTGTCCAGAGCCACACAGCTAGGAAGTGACCACACTGGGCTCAAGTTCAAACCCTCCAGAGCGGGTGTCTTTAGTGCTGGATCACGGGCCATCTGCTTTTTCTCTGAAGTGTGTGTTCCTGTCCCTGGCTCACTTTGCTTTTCTTTCTTGTTTTGGTACTGGGGATCGAACTTGGGTCCTTGTGCTTGCAAGGCAGGCGGCAGAACCACTGAGCCAAATCTCCAGCCCCTGGCTCACTTTTCTTTCACAGTTACATTTTGTTTTGTTTTTTTTGAGACAGGGTCTTGCTCTGTAGCCCAGGCTGGCCTCGAACTCACAGCGATCCTCCTGCCTCAGCCTCCTGACTGCTGGGGTGACAGGCGGGCACCACCACACTTGGCAAACAAAAACCCTATTTCTATCACCTTTCTTTAGTTTTCATTTTTGCTGCCAGTCTGCCATTCTCTGTAGACTGTAAAGTGCCAGGTGCACATGGAGTCATAGCCTGAGAAGCGGAAATTGGGCACGGGCGGCATCTCCTCCTGGGGCTGCCAGGTCGCCAGCTTGGGGTTCCGCTGATCACAGCAGCCCCTGTTAACGCAGTCCGGCGGCCCCATCGCCTCGTTCGCGTCCATCCCCGGAATGAGTCCTGGCCCCCAGCACCACGCACTCCCCTGTGCCCCTGCTCCGGTGATCGGCCTGGCCCCTGCCCGTGCTCTGGGGACGGGCATCAAACTACCCCATATGCAGCAGCCGGGAGAACCCGCGGGGACGCCAAGCCCTGTCTCCTGGCTCTGCCAAATCCTGACTTCTAAAGGTTTTCTTTCCTTTTCACGACCAGTATGCAGTCAACAGTAGGCTTGGTTTTTTCAGGCAGCATGTTTCCCTGGTGATTTTCCGTCTTAGCCTTGAGCTTCTCCCCCAGGCCTCTGGCGGCAGAAATGTGTTTGTGTCTCATCCTAAGATAAAATCGGGGGGCTGTGTCTCCTCCATAAGCAAAGGCACGTTGCAGTCTTGCAAGATGCGTTTTCACTTCATATGTGCTCGCCTGCTCTCCCCACAGCTAAAGCCGTGGACGGCTATGTGAAGCCACAGATCAAGCAGGTGGTCCCCGAGTGAGTGTCCGGGCCCTACCCCGCTGTCCCCAGCCCCGGCCCAGCACCGAGGCTCCCTCCCTCAGGACCCTGGGTCTGCCCTCGGGAGGGAGCGGGCTTGGTCATGCTGTGGCCGGACCCCTGGGCACCTACTCTGTCCTTCCGCACCTGGAAAGCGTCGAGATCCCCCCCAGACACCGACCCCTGGGCCTGAGGCTCCGCTTGCTCTGCTTCCTCCTGCAGGTTCGCGACTGCGTCTGCAGATACTGGGGCCAGCGCCACCTACATGGACCAGGCCCCGTCCCCGGCCGTGTGTCCCCAGGCTCCATACAGCATGTACCCGCAGAAGTAGGTTGTGTTCTTGGGGTGGGGCTGGCCCAGGCAACCCCAAAGCGTGGCAGGTCTCAGAGCACCCAGCCTGGGCAGGCACTGGCTGTTGGGGTCCAGGAAGGACTCAGCCGGTGCCTCAGTGGTTTAAAGTGGGCTGGGGCGAAGGTGTCAGCCCCCACCAGGAGGGGGGAGACGGTTCTTGCTGTGTGTGAAGAGGGGCAGAGCTTGGGTATCAGGAAAGCAGTACGGGAGCCTGGGGTCTGGATCTGCAGGGCTGAACAACAGAGCATCCCAGTCCTTGGCATTCAGAGCAGTAGTGGTCTGTTTTTCTTTCTTGGTTTTTTGAGACAGGGTCTCACTATGTAGTTCAGGCAGGCCTTGAACTCACTGCTTAGCCCAGGCTGGCATGAAACTCGGAGATCCTCCTGCCTCAGCTCCCTGAGGGCTAGGATGACAGAAGTGTGCCACCATGCCCAGCTAGCAGTGCTCTTCTGTAGGCCCCCGCTTCGGGGACAGGCAGTCTGGGGCCCTCGCCTGGTCCACAGCAGTCTTGAGCTGGCCTCTGACCTCCCGTCCTTCCTCTCCCAAGCCCCGACTCCGTCCTGGACACTGACGGGGACTTCGACCTGGAGGACACGATGGACGTGGCACGCCGCGTGGAGGAGCTCCTGGGCCGGCCCATGGACACTCAGTGGATGCCCCACACGCAGTCGTGACCCGGCCTCCGCCCAGCTCCTCCGTCCTGGCCGAGGGACAGCTCTTGGGGACGCCGCGTCCGCGACCTGCTTCTCCTTGGAAACAAAGCTTATAATGTGAAGTGCTGATCCCATTGTGACCTTAGTGTTTTTGTGCACGGTGGCACCTGTGCAGGGTGTGTGTGTGCGTGTGTGAGTGTGTTTGCCCTCCGTGGCCTTTCCGCCCCTCGCTCTCCAGAGCCCAGCGCGCAGCAAGAAGGTGCGGGCAGGGTGGCTGTGCTGAGGCCATCCCGTGGGAGAAGGGCGAGGGTGGGGAGGGCCCTGCCAGGCCGATGCCCGCAGGCAGGGCCCGGGGAAGGGGCTGTGGGCGGCTTCCACCCGGCCTGGCCCTCGAGTCTCCGCACCCTCCCTCCACCCCGTGCTCTCTGGGGCTGCGGCTCCTGTCCTGTGTGTCCGAGTGTGGGCGACTGATGGGCTGCAGGTCCGCAGGGGTCTGGGCCCCGCTGTCCCCGCCAGGCTTCCAGAGTGCTTTGTCCCAGTCCCAGCTTTCTGCAGGCTCCAGTGTCTTTTTTGGTTCCCCTTCCCACCTGAATTGGACACCAGAATTCTCTACTCCCGCCTCAGGTCCTGGGCCACTCACATCCAGGTCACCCCCTTTTCCTGCCCTGTCACCTGGCCTTGCTGCAGAGAAGGAGGTGACAGGCGGTGGCCTGAAGCCAGGCAGCTGGGTCACCTCGAATGCCCAGTGCCGGGCTTGGGAATGGAGGCCGGCAGGCATTCGGGGGAGCCCCGGCCTGGTCCTGCCCACTTCTTCTGGGGTCACCCCAGGAGGAAGGCGTGGGCGGCAGGCGAGCAGACAGCTTCCGGGTCGGCCCCTTGGCCCCTCTCCTAGAGAGGGGCAGGACACCCCAGGAGAGGTGGCCCAAAAACCTTATTTTTATACATGTGAGTAAATAAACATATTTTTTTTACAAAAATAAATTCTGAATTTACCAGTGTTTGCTGTTCAAGAATACTCCTTGCTAGTAAATTATTTATTGGAAGGTGACTTTTTAAGACCTGCTGTTTGCCTTGCCTGGGTTTCACACACTGATTTATTTTTCGATGCCACGGGTGGACTCTGCCTCGGGTACAGGCGGACCCCTGCATCATGGCAGAGACCCCGCCCAGGCCCAGGCTCCCCAGCCCTTCCCGCTGGTCTCAGAGATGCCCACACCCTGCCTCTGACTCGGGGGAACATGGGCCTTGAGCTGCTCTGGTCCATGGTGGCACAGCCCCAGGGCCCGCGGGCACCCAGCACCAGGTTTGGGCCGGAAGATGGCAAAGAGCGCAGCTTGGGCCCCGAGGCCAAGCTCCGGATCTTCCTGAGGCTGTGCCGGGCTGGGGCGCTCTGGGGCTGAACGCCGCCAGCGCGCTGTCTGCATCCCGTGTCCCTCTCCACCCACTCCGCCCCTGCAGCCACAGGAGAGGCCACTGCAAGCCCCGGCCCTGTCTCCCACCAGGCGCTGCCCAGGTCCCCGGAAGCGCGGGTTTGTGTAGAGCGCCGTGGGGGACTTCAGTGAACGTCCCTTCCTTGCGATGAAAGTATACTTTTTATAATTTTTTCTTTTTCAAACTTTATGAACTTATTTGAGATACATATTTACCATTGAGGCAGATTAGTATATAGCCAACAGTGTATTGTGTACAATTTGGGGCAGTCACGAAACTGCACATTTTCTGTTACTTCTAATAAAGGCTCCCTCTGCAGGGACAAAATCGGGTCCTGTTTTTTTCTTTCCAACCTGTGGCGGGGGAGGGAGCCTTAGTAGGGACAAGTTTTGAGTCATTAGTGTGGCCTGGAAAAGGGGAACTGGCTGGGGGAGGGGGTGGCCTCCCGGGGCGTGTCATAGGCTTTGATGGCAGATAGGGCGCCTTTGCCCCTCCTGCTCATGTGATGTTTGGAAAATGAGACGCCCAGTTTGCCTCTCCCGCCTGCCCTCCCTCTTCCTGCTAGAAAGCTCTCTGGTCTTCAGGGTTGCATTTATCAGGGTGTGGTGGCTCCTGCCTGTGATCGAAGCCCTCAGGAGGCTGAGGCAGGAGTTGGAGGACAGCCTGGGCTACATGGTGAGACCCTGTCTCAGAAAGAAGAAAGAAAGAAATAGACAACTGGAATAGATTTCTAGCAAGAGATGGATCAGGACTCAAAGACCTCTCAGAAAAGCCCAGGACCTCTGAATTCTCCAAATGCATCAAGAAGAATTAATACCAATTCCTTCACTAACTTCACCAAAGACTAGGAGTGAACACTTTCCGACTCATGCCATGAAGCCAGTATTGTCCTGACACCAAAACTAGACCAAGACAGCACACAGCTAATGTGTCTGAAGAATACAAACACATTTAAAAAGAGAAAATACGTGACACACAGACCAGATCTGGGGGTGCACGCGCGTGTAACCCCAGCACTTAGAAGGCTGAGGCAGGAGGATCACCATGACTTCAAGGCCAACCTGGACTACACAGACCCTTTCTCAAAAACAAAAAAGGGTAGATTTGTGGTTGCTTAGATACTGGGAAGACATTGGAAGGTGATAAAGGGTACAGGGGCTTTTCGGGGGTCATTGTTTTTGTTTTCAGTGTTGAGAATCAATGCCAGGACCCCAGCACTGAGCTACTTCCCAGCTCTTTTTACCTTTATTTTGAAATGCTGAGTTCTCCAATCTGGGTCTGAATTTGCAGTCTTCCTGCCTCAGCCTTCCAGAATGTTGGGATGACAACCATGTACCCCATATCCAACTAAGGGTTTGTTTTTTGTGGGGGTTTTTTTGAGACAGAATCTCACTGTGGTCCAGGCTGGCCTTGAAGTCACTATGTAGTCCAGGCTGGCCTCAAACTCAGCAATCCTCCCGCCTCAGCTTCCTGAGTGCTGGGATGACAGGTGTGTACCACCATGCCTAGCTAAGGCTTTGTTTTCGAGGTGATGAAAATGTTATAAAATATGAGCCAGGTACAGTGGTGCAGGTCGGTAATTCCAGCTACTCTGGAGGCCGGACAGGAGGATCAAAAGTTTGAGCCCATCCTGAACAACTTAGGAAAGTCACAAAAGGGCCCGGGATATAGCTCCGTGTGAAGGCCCTGAGTTCAATGCTCAGTACCAGAAAAAAAAAGGCGAAGGGTTAAAAGCAGGGACTTGGGACTCTGAGGGCCCCAGCTGAGGCACAGGGAGGATGTATCAATGCATCAGGGACTTCAGCAGCCCTGAACTGATGAATGTATCTTGGAAATGTGGGGCTCCTGTCTACATAGAGGGGTGACAGCGCCTCCAGTCTCTCAGCTTCTGTGGGCTCAGTGCTGATTCAATAATAAAAGTGTTTTCTCTCTGGACTGGCTGGTGCTGTCATCCAGCACTCAGGAGGCTGAGGCAGGAGGATTTCGAGTTTGGGCCCAGCCTGGGCAACTTAGTGAGACCCTGTTTCGGAATAAAAACAAACGGGCTGGGGTGCGGCTCAGAGAGACCTTTATGAAGAGGTTCTTGGCTGAGAGAAGCTTTTGCTTTAAAGGCTCTCAAGCCTCCAGATGCCCCAGGGTGAAGTGAGCTCCGCGGGGGGATTTTCCACACCCGGCTTTCTCTTCTGCACCCCACAAGGCTGAGGATCCTGCTGTTCGCCGCCCAGCTGCCCGCACCACCTGCGTGACCGCCCCGTTGGGTCTCGTCACTTTAAAAGCACCCCTCCCCCACCTCGGCCGGAAGTCCCCACGGACCCTTTAAATCCGCCTCTCTGGCCGGAAGTGCGAGAGTCCGGAAGCGTCGAGGGCGGGGAGTGGGCCGAGCGGGCTGGGACCGGTGCTCAGAGGGACATAGGCAGGGAGGACCTGGGCAGAGAAAGCCGCCTGCACTGGTCAGGCAGCACGACGTGCCAGGCCCGGGGCCGGGGCCGCCCTGCTCCTGCGGGGGCGGGCTCTGATCCTCCGTGCACCGATGAGGGTGTGAACGTGGGCGTGGCTCAGCGGGATTCGAACCCGGGCCGGCGCGGCTCCAGCGCCTGGGTCACCTCTGCCTTGCGGGTTTCAGCTGTGCCCAGCCTTGTGACCACGGGCACAGCAGCACCGAACCAGGCGCCACCCCCGGCACTGCTGGCCATGCTGTGCTGGCTGGTCCTGCTCCTGCTGCCCCTCCTGCCGCTGCTCCTGCTGCTGCTGCCCGCTGTGGCCCTGCACAGATGCCTGGGCGCCAGTCTGGCCCGGCTCGCCAGCCTCCAGCAGCAGGTGGCCTGGGGAGCCCTGGGCTGGGCGGCCACCTGGCAGCGGTACAGACTGGAGCAGAGCACTCGGCACGCAGCCCGGAGCCAGCATCAGGCCCTGGCGAGGTGCCTTCGGGGAGCCCGCCGCGCCCCCGGGGGGAGCACAGGTGCGTGTCGGGTCTGGAGGTGACTGGAAGCTGAGAAAGCCCGGAGGAGTCAGGGTCTAGAGCCCGCCCACCTCGGACAGGGCCAGGGTGCCCGCCGGGCTTCCCCCATCCCTCTGCCCCCCGGGCCTCTTTGGGGTTCCTTCCTCAGGGATCTCACAGTCTCATTTGCAACTGGGGAAACTGAGGCGTTCTGAGTCATTTCTGGTGTCTTTGGGGGCCACAGACATGAGCACCTTCCGGAACCTTCTCCCTCTGACCAAGCCTAGCCAGGCCCCGGAGGAACAGAATGGGGGGCAGGAGCAGCTCCCCGCCTCGAGCCAGTACCCCCAGGAGGCTGCCCTGCAGGTAACAGGATGGCCAGAGCCTGGCCCGGTGGAGACCCCACCTGGCACCTACCAGTCTGAGGTCCGGCCAAGCCAACAGCCTCTCTTGTCTCCAGGCCACAGTGCTGGGTGTGGCGGCCCTCGGCCAGGCCCACCCTGCCACGATGTCTCCAGGGGCCACGGCCCGTGTGACCCCCGCATCCCCATGGCCGTGCCCGCTGCCCTGGCTGGGGCCCATCCTGGGCCAGGCGGGTCCCCCCGGAGCCGAGGACCCCAGGGCCCTGCTGCTGGCCGCCCTGAGGTCCCCAGGGCTCAGGGCCCTGGAAGCCCGGACGGCCACGGAGCTCCTAGACGTCTTCTCGGGCTTGGAGGCTGCTGGCCAGGAGCTGGTAGAGGCCATAGCTGCAGGGGACCCTGGGGCGCCGCTCCCAGGTCGGGCGGCCGAGGTGCGGGCAGCCCTGGAGCGGGGACCCCGGGGACTGGCCCTGCAGCTCTGGCCACAGCTGCAGGTGGTGGTGACTCTGGATGCCGGCGGCCAGGCTGAGGCGGCCGCTGCCCTCAGGGCCTTGTGGTGCCACGGCCTGGCCTTCTTCTCTCCAGCATATGCAGCCTCTGGAGGTTAGCAGACGCCAGACAGGGCTGGGAGAGGGATGGTTACCACCATCTTCCCCAGCTCACACCCGGCCAGGGGCCAGCAGGCCCAGGACCCAGGGGGCAGTGGGGGGCAGCAGGGCTGGGTGGTGGTCCAGGGCATGGTCTGGCAGGAAGGAGAGGCAGCACAGGTGACAGGCACGCGCTTTGCTCCCAGGGCTGTTGGCCCTGAACCTGTGGCCCGACCAGCCCCAGGGCATCTACCTTTTGCCCCCTGGGATCCCCTTCGTTGAGCTGCTGCCGGCCAAGCATGGAGCCCTGGAGGACGACAGCCGCACCCTCCTCCTGGCCGAGGCCCAGCAGGGCGAGGAGTACGAGCTGGTGCTCACCACCCACGCCAGCCTGACCAGGTGCCTGCCCGCCCTGCCACCCAGCCCAGGGCCAGCGGGCTCAGCTCATCCCTATTGCTGCCCTTCCAGGTGCCGCCTGGGCGATGTCATACAGGTGGTTGGCGCCCATAACCAGTGTCCGGTGGTCAGGTTCGTGGACAGGTAGGCGCTGGGTGCCGAGGGCTGCCCCGTGCGAGCCCTGGGCTCCGGCACCTCTGCCTTCTTCCTCCCAGGCTGGGCCAGGCCCTGAGCGTCCGAGGGGAAGTCACCAGCGAGCGTCTGTTCTCCCAGGCCCTGGGCCGGGCCGTGGTGCAGTGGCCAGGTGCCAAGTTGCTGGACCACTGCTGCGTGGAGAGCAGCATCCTGGGTGAGCCCTTGGCCCCGACTCCTGCCTGAGGGGCCACTGCCGTGACCTCTGGACGGAGTGGGGCTTAGCTCCTCCGCAGCCCCTCACCCTGGCCCTCTGCAGATCCGGCTCGGTCCTTCCTGCCGCAGTCATACCTGCTTTCTTCCCCCACTGGCCAGTGTAGGCTGAGGCTCCAGGCTCCCTTCCCGGTAACCCCCCAAGCCCCTTCCCCATGAACCTCAGAATGGGGAGTCCCAAGCTGGGTGTGGTTTTGCACACCTGTGATCCTAGCCCTCGGGAGGCTGAGGCAGGAGGACTGCAGAGAGTTCAAGGCCAGCCTGGGCTACAAAGTGAGACCCTGTTTCAAAAGAGCAACAAAAAACCCCATGGGGAGCAGGAGAGGATCCTCTCTCAGGGAGTGGTGGGCTTGGGGCCTGTGCAGACTCCTCCGAGGGCTCCGCTCTGCACTACGAGGTGTTCCTGGAGCTGAGGGGGCTGAGGAATCTGTCGGAGGAAAATCGCAACAAAGTGAGAGCCTGGAGAGGTCTGGCTGCTGCCCTGGGGGGCAGGGTGGGGCAGGCACGGGGAACAAGGGCCCTTTTGGACCCTGGGAAAGGAGTGAGGGTCCAAGGCACAGGCTGGCACGAGCCTGACTCCTGGACACATGCCCATAGCCCGCCTGCCTCTCTCCGGCCTCTGTCCCCAGCTGGACCTCTGCCTGCAGGATGCCTCCCCACACTACAAGTTCCTGCGCTTCCGGGGCAGTGTGGGCCCTTCCCATGTGCACCTGGTGGCCCGTGGGGCCTTCAGTGCCCTCCGGGCTGCCCTGGCTGCTCGGCTCTCGTCCTCTGCTCCTCCTGCGATGCCTCGAGTGCTGAGGCACAGGCAGCTGGCCCAGCTCCTGCAGAGGAGGTTGCTGTCCTGAGCCAGCTCTCCGGGAGCCCTGGGTCCCCCGGGAGAGCTGATGTTGGCCCATCAGAGCCACTGCAGGCAGTGCTGAGGGGGCAGGTGGCAGGCTCCTCCCCTGAATGCCCCTGGAGAGTCCCCATTCGACCCATGGCTTCCTGTGTGCCCCCCGCCCCTGGCACAGCCCTGCACCTGACCTGGGTGCTGGGTGGGCTGGAAGCATGAGGGGCAGGGGGGACTCCCCAGGGGGAGGCTGCCAATTAAGCATTGGAGCTGCTGAATAAAGATTCGGTGACATGGTCCCTGTGTGGAATGAAGTGTCCTCAGCTCTCTGGAGGGTCCCTGGCAGGCAGGGCCCACTCCCCGGGGCCACCCTCTTGTGCCTCCTGGATCAGCCCCACCAAACCTCTCCCACCTAGAATCTTGGCTCCAGTCTGCTCTGGAGAAACCTTAGGGGTCTCACCCACCCAGTCCCCTTCCACCCTGAGCCCCAAGGCATCCCCAACTTGGGCCATACTTGTGCCCAAGTGCATGCACACACAGGAGCCTTTGGGGCCCCCAATCCCGGGGCTCTGCCTGCCTCTGTCCCAAGCAGAACACGGAGTGGGGGGACTGTTCCCAGGTCCCCTGCCCTGCCTTAGCGTGTCCCTCTCCTGGTCCAGGACCCACAAAGCACTTCCATGGTGGGAGTGTCAGGGGCAGCGTCAAACGGAGGCTGGGCCTGCTCCCCGGAGATGGGTAGCAGACAGGACAGCGGGGAGAAGGCACCTCCCAGTGGCTTTGGTGGCCTTTTCTCCAGCCACCCACAGTGGGCATCCAAAGTTTCCACTGTGTTGGTCCGTGGAAGGGCATTTCGGGCAGATAGAGGCCACACCACGACCAGGGCCGTCTCCACGGAGAAGGGCGGGAGAGGCCTGCAGTGTGGACACTGTGCACGGCCCCAGCGCTGCCCTAATTAGCTGCCGCCTCCTCCCTCACTGTCCTAGGCAGCGCCTGCCAAGGCGTCCTTTGTGGCTCACATTCCGGGGGGCAAGGTGGCCTCATTAGTGCCGGGAGACATCTCATCTCCAGGGAGCAGGCAGGGCAACAAGGCCATTCCTGGGGCCCAGCTTGGAGACCGGGCCCCTGTGGGATGCTAATCTTAGACGTGCCTTTGTCTGGGCCCGGGCACACGGAGGTGCCTGCCCTTTCCCCGGAAACCTTGGAGCTCTATAAACCCAGGCCCCTGTGGCCATCACAGTCACAGCCTTGAGATTCCTGAGCACCCGCAGCCCTGCTCTGCAGACAGCCCAGGGGCGCTGGCACCATGAACCTGCCCCCCACAAAGGTAAGACCGGGGCTTGGGCTGACAGCCTCCCCTGGCTGCAGGACAGGCCAAGGGCTCTCCCCTTGGCTGACAGCAGCCGCGCCCCTTCTCCTAAGAGCTTGTTTGTTGAGCTCCCTGCCAGCAGCCCTGGCCAACAGAGGGGGACAGCCATCTGCCAGGCAGCCTGGGGCCCCGCCAGTGCCCGGGGTCCCCTTGTTTGCCTGCGGGTGGGACATTGGGGCGCGTAAGGGTGCTAAATGCCGTGCTCTGTTTTCTCCGAGTTTCCAAGTTGCGGCCGCACAGATCGGACTGGCCTGTCTCAGACGGGGAGCAGCCTTTAATGGGGGACAGGAGGCCTAAAGGAAGCGGGCAGAGGGCCCCGCTGCAGCCTCCGGGCCTTCCTTCTCGAAGGATCCCAGCTGGTTGCAGTCAGGACTGCCGAGGGCTGCGACGACGGAAGGGCGCGGGCGCGGGCGCGGGCGCTGCTGTCGGTAGGGACCCCCTCACCGCGTCCGTGTCCCCCCAGGTCTCCTGCGCCACCGTGACGCTGCTGCTGCTCCTGCTCCTGCCGCCCGCGCTGCTGTCCCCTGGGGCGGCCGCGCAGCCCCTGCCCGACTGCTGTCGCCAGAAAACCTGCTCGTGCCGGCTGTACGAGCTGCTGCACGGCGCGGGCAACCACGCGGCTGGGATCCTCACGCTGGGCAAGCGGCGGGCGGGGCCCGCGGGGCTGCAGGGCCGGCTGCAGCGCCTCCTGCTGGCGGGCGGGAACCACGCGGCCGGGATCCTCACCATGGGCCGGCGCGCGGGCGCGCAGCCGGGGGCGCGGCGCGGGCTCTGAGCCCCTCGACGTCCCGGTCCGTGTCACCACCCCACCCACCCTGTTCGCCCATCTGACAAAAGGCAATAAAGACGAGGCTCTGTGCGTGCGGCTGGTCTCTGTCCGAGGGCGGGAGAGCGTCCTGCGGTCCCCAAGCACGCGGGCCAGAGGCCCAGGGGTGCGCAAGGCTTGGTCTTGCGTCCCGCGCGTCGCGGGGATCTGGGAGTCGGTCCGCAACCCGAGCGCGAGGCAGGCTGCACACGGACAGACGCGGCCTGTGAGCTTCAACAGGGAACCCCCCACAGCGCTTGGCGAGGGGTAGAGGTCTCGGGGAGCGGTGGTGGCGAAGGCCCTGGCACTCGGAGAAGGCACAGAAGCCTTTTGTTTGTTTTCTTGGCGCCGGGAGCGCCAGGCGACATCTCCAGCCCTTTTGACCTTATGTCGAGGCGAGGTCTCCCTCGATTTATGCAGGACGGCCTCAAATTTGAGATCCTTCTGTCTCTGCCTTCCCTGTAGCTGAGATTACAGGCGCAGGCCACCACCACCGGCATGGGGAAGTTCTTAGGCAGAGGTGGGGGAGACTTTTCTGCAGCGCTAGCCAAAGACGCTGGTTCCCCCAGGTCCCTTCGTGGCAGTCCTAATCCCCAGCATTCAGAGTGTGGCCGAAGTTGTAAACAGGGTCCTGGGGGACGCGACCCATCACGATGCGGTGAAACCAGGGACTTCGCCCACCACCAGTCGGGTTCTTATAAAGGGAATTCGGGCACAGAACCTAGGCCCAAGGGAACCTGCACATAGACACTGGTGGCACAGCAACGAGCCAACCAATGCCAAGTTACGCTGGCGACCCAGGAGCGGCCAGGCAAGAGGCCTGTGCCTGGCGGCCCGTCCAGCACCTTCTCAAGACCTCGGCTGGACTCCCAGCCTCGAGCCGTGGACAGCAGCTTTCTAACTAACAGGACACCCGAAAGCACAGGGATAAAAAGCTGTGGCGCTGTTTACCAGTGGAGCACCCGGAGGCCTGGGGAACAGGGGCGCCGGCCCCCTCGCTCCTTCTTGGGTCAAGGGAAGGGTCTGTCTGGCTCGGAAAGGCTGTCACACAACAGCGCCGGGAGCGGGGATTCCAGAGCCCCCTGGCCTCCGACTTTCCATCCCGCCCGCTGTGCTCAGAAGCAGAGTTCGCCAAGGCCTCGAGGAACTGAGTGCGAAACGAAGCACTAGCTGTGCTTCCAGGTTTGGGGTCCCGGGCCCTCGGGGGGTCGACACCCTGTCCACGGAACCAGCCTCCGAACCCTCGCTACCTCCCCTGGAGCGCAGGACGCCGAGGTGCGGTGGCAACCCCAACTCGGGCAGGCGGCAGCGTGAACTGGACGCCGGCCTGGCGGGGGCGGGGCGGCGCGCGGGGAAGCCCGTAGGGTGGAGCCGCGGGAGCGGGCCTCGAACCACGCGCGGGGCGTGGCCACCAGGAAGGAGGGCGAGCCAGGCTGCTAAGCTCGGCCCCAGGCCCGTAGGCTTGGCCAGGGTCTCTCGGGGAGTTGCGCGTGGGACGTTGCCGACCGGGAAGGAGGGCGTGGCCTCCTGGCCCCGCCCCCACCGGGGAGGAGTCTCCAGGCGTTCTGAGGGAGACCCGTGGGGGCGTGGCCGTCCGGGGAGGAGGGTGTGTTCAAAGCCCCGCCCCTCCAACCCGGAGGCGTGTCTCCAGCTCTCCCAAGGTGCGCTTGGGGTGTGTGTCTTCCTGCCGAGCCCCGCCCCTCCGTGGGCTGCTCTCCTCCCGAGCGGGGCGGGTGCGGTGTCGCCGGCGGCCCCTCCTGCGCCAGCCACTTGGCGGGTGCGGGCCGCCCAGGGAAAGAGCCCGACCCGCGGGGAGTTCGGGTGCGGCGGCGCCCGGGAACTCAGAGCCCGGGGCACGGCGCGGCGAGCGGAGGCAGCGGGCGAGCGCATGGGGCGCCCTCTCCAGCGGAGAGCCTCGCTGTGGAGCCTCGCCCCGGGGCCATGCCGGTCATGAAGGGCTTGCTGGCCCCGCAGAACACCTTCCTGGACACCATCGCCACCCGCTTTGACGGCACGCGTGAGTGGGGCGGGCCGGGCCGGGCCGCGCGAGGGCGACCCCGAGGGCTGGGGACCGGGCGCTGCAAGCCCGAGGCCCTGGCGAGGGGAGGGAGCCGGGCGGGAGCCGGGCGGGCAGGGGGTGTGACCCTCGTGGGGTTCCGAGCCCAGGGCGGGACAAAGTGGCTGGCGCCCTCCAATACCCCTGCCTCTGATCAGACCGCGGAGGACCCGGCTTGGATTAGGGCCCCGCGCCCCCAAATAGTTGGGCCCCTGGGACCGAGGGGGGGAGGGGGAGGAGAGGGGGCGTCCCCGGGACAGAGGGGACCCCCCCCTCCGTCGCCCACAAGAGCGGTTCAGCACCTTGGACAGCCGCGCCGCTCCTCTGGGCCTCGGTCCAGCCATCCCTTCTCCTGCTTGGAGCCCAGAGAGCTCCCCCTGCCCCCGGGAACCCTCTTGGGGCTCAGGATGGGGAGCGGTACCCGAGGGCGGAGACGAGCCGCCAGTGCCCTAGCCGCCTCCCTCTTCCCCTGACACCTCCCTGTTTCCATAGCGCCCATCACCCAGGCAACAGGCTCCAGGATGGAAGGAGACAGGGCCCCGGGCCTCCTAGGCACCCTCAGTGCCCCCTTCACCCACCCCACAGCCCTGTTGTCTCTCCTAGGCCCCAGCACCCGTCCTGTCCTAAGCCCCATCCCTCACTGAGACTGTCCTCCGATAACCCACCACCTCCCTCTGCTGGACCCCAGGAAGCAGCCGGGTTCTGCTGCTGGGGTCGCTGGTCCTGACCCTCACTGCTCTCCCCAGCCCGACCCCCAGCCCTGGGGTCAGATCCCTGAAACAGCTGAAGGAATGTTAAAAAGGGGGACCTTTCCCAGAAGGCAGGCAGGAGGACCTTCTCATCCCTGTCTTCCCCCCACACTAAGGAAATTTCTGAGTTTGGAAAATTTCTGCCTTTCGGTTTCCTAACAAGTAGCTAAAAAGGCAGAATCTTCGCCCTGGTCACTGTCACAGGATAGCAGCCCATGCACGTGACCCCAAAGCTGAGAGAAGGGGTCATTCTACCTGTTCCTAGTGGCTCTCACTAGAACTTGTTCTCCCAAGTGAATGATGCAACTCGTGCAATTGTGTGAAGGTGTTTTGTGTCCCACTTGGCAGATAAGGAAACGGAGGCCCAGAAGAGGTCATTAACTTGCCCAGGGTCAGCCTGTAAATGGCCAGCAGATGCACCGCTGCTACCTCGAAGTGCTGCCCGCCAGCTTGATGGCAGGAGGTGGCCCGCATGGCCTGTTGGGGTTCCTTCTCCAACACCCCAGTCGTCCTGCCTCAGCTGTAGGCCACCCTTGGGGCCCTGCCCCTGTGCTCTCTCTGGTTCTTTCAGAATATGTCACTCAGAGAAGCTGCTGGCTCTGGGACCACAACTTGCGGGCGCCGCTGCCCCCCCAGCTCCGTCCTCTCCTGGACCAGCCCTGACCTTGACCTCTGCCCCCACAGACAGCAACTTCCTGCTGGCCAATGCTCAGGGCCCTCGGGGCTTTCCCATCGTGTATTGCTCAGACGGCTTCTGTGAGCTCACAGGTTACGGCCGCACAGAGGTCATGCAGAAGACCTGCAGCTGCCGCTTCCTCTACGGCCCAGAGACCAGCCAGCTGGCGCTGCAGCGGCTGCACAAGGCCCTGGAGGGCCACCAGGAGCACCGGGCCGAAATCTGCTTCTACCACAAGGACGGTGAGGACCTGAGTCGCTCCCTGACTCGTGGCCTAGGGGAGACTGCACATTGAGGGGTGCAGCTCACCCTCACCTCTGCACCCCTGCAGGCTCAGCCTTCTGGTGCCTCCTGGACATGATGCCCATCAAGAACGAGATGGGCGAGGTCGTGCTGTTCCTCTTTTCCTTCAAGGACATCACTCAGAGTGGAGGCGCAGGGCTCGGCCCCCCGGGCATCCATGGGGACAGTAATCACGGTAACTGACACGAAGGGCCTGGAGTCCTGGTCCCGAGTCACCCCGGACCTCTGCCTACCTGGCCCCGGCAACTCACACCCTTCCTTCCTCCCACAGAAAATTCCCTTGGCAGGCGGGGAGCCAGCTCCAAACTTCGGTCCTCGCAGAGGCAAAGCCACAGCATCCTGCGCCGACTGACTGGCCACTTCAGTCACCGGGGCCAGGGAAGCATGGAGACCAACAATGTGAGTCATGTCCCATCCTGGCCGAGTGCCCAGGTCTGCTCTGGTTCCGTCTGCCTGTTCTTCATTGCCGGGCGGCTTGTGCCCCTGTCCACCCATGTCTGGGTACCACTCTGCTCTGTCCCTCTCCCTTGCTCCCGTAGCTGACATCTCCCTCGTGGTGTCACACGGGTGGGGCCCCAGCAGCAACAAGACACCTACCCTTGACCAAAGGCTGTGTCATGGCGGTGGGAATTCAAATCACAAGCTGCTCTGGTCCTGGAGAGAAAGCCCACCCTCCAGCCTGGCATCTCGGACCCTCTGTGTCATCTGCCAGGGCTAGGGAGACTGGGGTGTATGGTGCTAGTGCCCCTATACCCACGAGAGCCCAGGGGAACTTGAGGGAGAGGCAGTGACCCCTCAGGTAGGGCACACGTCTGACTTGCCAGAACCTCTTCACCTACATGGGGTCAGTGCCAAGGCCCCTGAAACGTGGCTGCTCAGAGAGGGCTATGCAGAGAGAAGGAAGTGCCAGCCCCAGAGCCTGCCTCTCCCCTCCCAGCCCTGGCTCCTCTTTCCCCTAAGTGTCCCAACCACCACCCCTCTCCCTTTAGAACGCGTCTGAGCCAAAGCCATCGGTGCCTGAGTACAAGGTGGCCTCCGTGGGGGGGTCCCGCTGCCTCCTCCTCCACTACAGCATCCCCAAGGCCGTGTGGGACGGCCTCATCCTGCTTGCCACCTTCTACGTTGCGGTCACCATCCCCTTCAATGTCTGCTTCTTGGGCGATGATGCCCCCGCCACACCCCGCCACGTGCTCATCAGTGATGTTGCCGTGGAGATGCTCTTCATCGTGGGTCAGAGCCTCTGCCGGCAGGCCGGGCCAGCGGGGAGGGTGGGCTGCGGGGACGCCTTTGGAAACGGCTTCCTCGCCCCGGCCATGCTACAGCCCCAGTCCCTTCCCTTGGCCCATCTCCCCGCTTCCCTGCCGCCTCCTCCCGTCACTGGCCACGCACCCTAGGAAGGCCCTCTCGCACCCCAGACATCATCCTGAACTTCCGCACCACCTACGTGTCCCAGTCCGGCCAGGTGGTCTCGGCCCCTCGCTCCATCGGCCTCCACTACCTGGCCACCTGGTTCTTCGTGGACCTCATTGCCGCTCTGCCCTTTGACCTGCTTTATATCTTCAACGTCACTGTGGTGAGTGACCTTGCCCACGCACCTCTGCCTCTCGCCCTCAGCCTGGGCTGGGCGCCGGGAGCCCCGGCTCTGTCTCTGAGGGAGGCTGAGAGAACGCAAGCTGACTCTGGCTGCCAGGGCGGACTTGGGTGGCTGCCAGATGAACGGTGCTTCTTCATTTCTACTTAGCAAACAAATGAGCACTTAGGCGGCACAGAGCCTGTGTGGTGCACGGCTGGCCTCTGTGGGGAGAAGGGACAGGGATGCGCCCTCCGAGGGCAAGGGGACCTGGGCAGAGGTGCGCGGGGTGCAGGTGGGGCGAGGTTCGTGGCTGGGGCTGGGCCGACCTTGCAGACCCGGGCTGCAGACCTGAGCGACAAGACGGGGAAGCGGAGGGGGCAGCAGCCCAGCAGGGCAGGGCTGGGGTGGGCTGGGAAGGAGTCTGTGGGAGCGGGGCTGGGGCTCAGAGGGCGCTAGGATTTGGCAGGCAGGGGTGAGGGGCCGCAAGGCAGCCCAGGAAGCGAGGCGCGGGACAGATGTGTGCAGGACTTGCGGGCACAGAAGCGGAGCTTCGCCCTCACCCAGCCTCCTGGCGAGGGCTTCTGGGGCAGACACAGCCCTGCCCAGCCCCACCTGTGTCCCCAGACCCCCTCGGCTGTCGGAGGGGAGGGGAGCAGCTCCCTGGTGCCTTCGCTGTACCCGGCTATAGCAGGAAACCACCTACACACAGCCGGATTTAACTAGCCGCCAACGGCTACAGGGCTCCTCTCCTGGCTGTGCACACGTGTGTGTGCGTGGCTGCCCCTCGGTGCCCACTCAGGGCGGTACCTGCACCGCTGGCCGTGGTGCTCTTCTCAGGTGGCCTCCTACCCTTCTTCCTCAGAGGTCAGCACAGGCCAGAGAGGCCGCGAATGAAGGCCACACGGTCAGCAGCCACTGGATCAGGTCCAGACTCCTGGTCCAGCTGCCACCTGCCTTCCGGGCAGCCAGGGCACCCGAGGGGCATCCAGGGAAAGGCAGGGCACAAACGGGGAGGCGAGGCGCTGCTGGTGCAGTTGGAGCCAGGCAGGACCCTCTAGCCCAAGGAGAGGTGTGGGCCACAGGGCCCCATGGCCGGGGACCCCTGCAGGGCCTAGGTTTGGTCCCAGACAGGTGCTCTGGGCCAAGGCAGGTGTGGAGGCCTGGACAGGCCGGTGGGGACCGGGGCCGCTCCTGCCCAGTTCCTTCACCCAGAATGAGAGAACATGATGCAAGGCGGCTCAGGAGCAGTGTGGGCTCAGGGCACTGGGGTCTCCTGGAGGACCCCAGGGCAGCTGGGCCTTCACACCAAACCCCAGAGCCTCCTGCCCTCGCTGCCAAGCCACCCCACCAGAAAATAAGCAGCCACCTGCTTACATCTCCAAGACTGGAAGGGCTAACTGGGGAATTAATGATCATAGAGCTGGGCACGGTGGCACACACCTGTCATCCCAGCACTTGGGAGGCTGAGGCAGGAGGATCACTGCAAGGTCAAGGCCACCTGGGCTGAAGAGTGAGTTCAAGGCCAGCCTGAACTGCAATAGTGAGACCCTGTCTGAAACAACAACAACAAATAGTAATAATAATAATCACAGTGAAAACAGCAGTCTCAGGGATGGCAGTGTACATCAGAATTAAAACCCTTGCCAGCATGCTTCAGCCCCTGGTTCAATCCCCAGAACTAAAAAGAAAAAAAAAGCAGTTTTAGCAACATTAGCCAATGTTGGCCAGCACTGAGGAAGGCTGAGTCAGGAGGATCCCAAGTTCTAGTCCTACCCGGGCAACCTTTTTTTTTTTTGGTACCAGGGATCAAACTCGGGAGTTTCTGCTTGCAAGGCAGGCGCCGGAACCACTAAGCTACATCCCCGGCCTACCCAGGCAACTTTACACCTTTAGCAAGATTCTGTTTCAAAAAATAAAAACGCCTGGGGGCGTAGCTCAGTGACAGAGCACTTCTGGGTTGGATCCTCAGAACAGCACCAAAAAATGTTTATCTGTGATCCACAGGAACATTTACGGTTCCTTCCCAAAGCCCTGCTGGGTCTACCAGCCCTAGGGCAGCCCCTTGCAGCTGGTTGCCCAGCAGCCCTAGCTCCCCCTGGGGTAGCTGAGACAGGAGCATTGCTGTGAGTTCAAGGCCAGCCTGGAATACATCGTGAGATCCTGTCTGTAAATTAATTAATTAATTAAAATGTAAAAACATAAAGAGCTGGGGATGCAGCTCGGTGTGAAGGCCCTGGGTTCAATCTTGCGTGCTGCCCGCCTCGGATCTGTGACCCACACGGGGAGGGCTCCTCCCATGCTCCTCCCAGGTCTTGCCTGCAGCCTTGCCTCCCTACCTCCAGACCAGGCTCTTGCCCTGTCCTGGAGGGCTATGAACAATGCAGGGCACCCACAAAGGGCTCTGGTGCCTGTCAACCCCGTCTCGAGTCCCATGACTGTCCCCTTGGGCTGGTCATCAGTGGAGCTGAGAGCTAGACCCCAGGCATGGTTTCTATGAGGGTCACAAACGCCTAGTGGCTGCTATTTGGTTCCTCTCCCCTTGCATCTCCTGAGTTCTCAGGATGGCAGGGGGTGTCCGCCCAGTCTCCCACTGACCTCTCCTTCTGCAGACCTCCTTGGTGCACCTCCTGAAGACGGTGCGGCTGCTGCGGCTCCTGCGGTTGCTGCAGAAGCTGGAGCCATACTCGCAGTGCAGCGCCATGGTGCTCACGCTGCTCATGTCGGTTTTTGTGCTCCTTGCCCACTGGATGGCCTGCATCTGGTATGTCATCGGGCGCCGGGAGATGGAGGCCAATGACCCACTGCTATGGGACATTGGTGAGCCGCCAACCCCGGACAGTCCTTTACCACCTGTCTCCCTTCCTGTCCCCAAGCCACTGTCTCCTGGGATTCACAGGTCCCACCCACATCCCCGTGTTTCCCCAAACCTCCCAGGCTCCTTGGGGATGCTGCTCTGGGCAAATCTGGCAGCCTAAAACACAACCCTGAAGGACTTTATGAGATAATCAAGAGAATTTAAACTAGCACGGTGGTGCACACCTGTAATCCCAGCACTTGGGAGGCTGAGGCAGGAGGATCTTGAAATCAAGGCCAGCTTGGACTGCACAGTGAGACTCTGGTCTCAAAATTAATTAATTCATTCAAATTTTTTAAAATAAAAAGAGCCGGGAGGTAGCTCAGTGTGAAGGCCCTGGGTTCAATCCTGTGGACAACCCCTCCCGGAATCCTGGGCTCGGCGCGCACCCTAGCAGCCCTTGCCCTGCGTCCTCAGGCCTCCCCACGCTCCCGCGCCTCTCTCCTGACCCCCCCCCCCCCGCCCCGTTCCCTGCCCTGGACCAGCCCTCTCTGCTCTCCCTTCTCCCGGGTGTCCTTTCCGTCCCTCCCCGCCTCAGCCAGGCCCCTCCCTCCCACCAGTGACCCCCGTCACCCCCGCCCCGCCGAGCACCGGCCACGGCTGCCCGCCCGGCGAGCAGTGTGGGGCCGAGGCCGGCTCGGAGGCCGGGTCACCCGCGCCGGTCCTGCAGCCCCTCGCCCGCCCACCCCCAGGCTGGCTGCAGGAGCTGGGCCGGCGGCTGGACGCGCCCTACGTGAACGGCTCAGCGGGGCCCTCGAGGCGCAGCGCCTACATCGCCGCGCTCTACTTCACGCTCAGCAGCCTCACCAGCGTGGGCTTCGGCAACGTGTGCGCCAACACGGACGCTGAGAAGGTCTTCTCCGTGTGCACCATGCTGGTCGGCGGTGAGCCGCCCAGCGGGAGGGCGGGCCCCGAGGGTGCGCGCGGCGCGTGGGGGTCCTGGGCCGGGACACCCCGTGACGCCCCTGCCGCCCGTCCAGCGCTGATGCACGCCGTGGTCTTCGGCAACGTCACTGCCGTCATCCAGCGCCTGTACTCGCGCCGCTCGCTCTACCACCGCCGCCTGAAGGACTTGGAGGACTTCGTGCGCGTCCACCGCCTGCCGCGGCCGCTCGAGCAGCGCGTGCTCGAGTACTTCCAGACCACGTGGGCCGCCAACAGCGGCATCGACGCCAACGAGGTGCGCGGCGGATCTCGAGTGGGCTGGGGATGCTGCCCCCCTTTCCTGTGCGTTCGGCTACCTACGGGAGCCAGAAGGGAGCTCAGGCCTGCGCTCACCCTGCCACTCCGTTAATCAGTATGTCCTGGGGTGGCAGCGACACCTGTCACCCCAGCGCTTGGAGGCAGAGGCAGGAGGATCACCAAGTTCGAGGCCAGCCTGGGCTACATAGCGAGACCCTGTAGGAACACAGGCCCAGAAAGGTTGGTAGCAGAGCCAGAGCCAAGTGGAGCAGCCCGGTGGCCAGGAGAAGAGCAGGGGAGGGGCGGCCGGAGGGCTGGACAGCCTGGAGTTCAGACTGCACGCTGCCGGACCTTGGGCCTGGAGGCCAGCGTGGGGCTGGAGGAGGGCAGGATGAAGGCTGGGGTGCTCTGTGGCGTCTGGCTGGCGCGGAGTGGGGAGGTAGAGGCATCCCGGGTGAAGGTGGGGCTCAGGGAGGGAGGTGAAAGGTCGGGCATGCAAAAAGCCCAAGGGTTGGTGCAGAGGTGGGGAGAAGTGAAGAGAAAGCCAGGGGCTGGGCGGGGTGTGGAGAAAGGGAGGGAGGAGGCCTGGGGACGTCCCTCCCAGGGGCCTGAGAGCTCGCCCGCCCAAGGGAGAGGCCAGAGTGAAGCAGACTCGCCTGCGGCAGATGGAAGTGTGGCGGGACCTCGGTACTGTGAGGTCCTCCGTCGGCGTCTGGGCCTGGCATAAGCCTCTGCTTGGCAGCTGGGGATAGCGAGGCCCAGCGAGCGGCAGTGGAGTGCCCGAGGCCCCCGAGGATTCAGGAGCAGGGCTGAGCCCTCCCCCAGCCTCTGATTCCTGGTTGCAGGCCGATCCTCAGGGTGGCTCTGGCTGCGGGGGGCTGAGGAGCCGGGATGCATGGGAGTGACCAGGTACAGCCTGGTGTGTGCCGGACTGGGAGCAGACCTGGTCTTGCGCCGGAAGTCAGGCTGGGAGCTTGGCGCGGCCAGCAAGCCTGAGGTCAGACTTGCAGGCGGCTTCCGAGAGGTCGGCCAAGGCACCTTCCCCGCACACGGCACAGCCCGAGAGTAGATGCAGCGGTAGTGGCCATGTGGCTGGAATGACCTCTGCCCCTTATGCAGTTACTGCGTGACTTCCCAGACGAGCTCCGAGCCGACGTCGCCATGCATCTGAACCGGGAGATCCTGCAGCTGCCGCTGTTCGGGGTGGCGAGCCGGGGCTGCCTGCGGGCACTGTCCCTGCACATCAAGGCCTCCTTCTGCGCCCCGGGCGAGTATCTGCTGCGCCGTGGGGACGCCCTGCAGGCTCACTACTACGTGTGCTCCGGCTCCCTGGAGGTGCTCCAGGACAGCACGGTCCTGGCCATCCTGGGTGAGGAGCCCCCCCCACCTGCCACCTGCCCCAGAGCTGTCCCCAGGGGCTTGGGGACAGCCAGGAGTCTGGGGGCTGGGATGCTCCTCTCCCTAATCTCTTTGGCCTCCCCCCCAGCCTATCTGGCCTTCCCCGGTGACTGTTCCTCAGGTCTATGGGCCTTTTGCACCTCCATGGACCATTTCCTGATGACCTGACCTCTGTTGGCCTTTACTCTTTAACTGGCCACTCCATGGATGACAGCCCAGTTCCACTGGTCGTTCCCCAGCCCTCCTCATGCATCTGCTTATGGTCTCCCAGCCTCCACCCGTCACCCTCCACTGACCTTTTCCCAATTCCCTTGATCTCCACAAGCCCTTGATCCAGCCCTTCGGACCACCCTTCGGGACGCGGATCATCCCTCAGATCCATCAGCCACCTCCTCCCATCACCCTCCCATCCATCCACCCCTATCCATCCCTGCCCCATCCCTCACCCCTCATCCATCCAGCCATCCTCCGGCCCCCTGCCCCAGCTGACTGCTGCCGCCCCTCCCCGCAGGGAAGGGGGACCTGATTGGGGCAGACATCCCTGAGCCAGGGGTGGGCCCAAGCTTCGTTCTGAAGACCAGCGCTGATGTGAAGGCCCTGACCTACTGCGGCCTGCAGCAGCTGAGCAGCCAGGGCCTGGCCGAGGTCCTGCAGCTGTACCCAGAGTACGGGGCTGCCTTCCGGGCCGGCCTGCCCCGCGACCTCACCTTCAACCTGCGCCAGGGCATTGACACCAGTGTATGTCGACCTCCAGGTCCCGACCTCCCCCAGCCCCAGAGAGCCCAGGTGACGCCTCCTCCCTGGAGACATCGTCACAGCCCTGTGCCCCTCCCACCCCAACTCTGCTCTTCCCCTGCTTCCAGCTCTGCCCCATGTCCTGTGGGCACCCTCAGCCTCACCCCGCTTCCTTGCCACCCTGAATTCCTTGGAGCCAGAGTTGAGGGTGTCCGACGCGGTTCTACGCAAAGGCCCCGTGTTCTGCACACCTGGCCCTGTTGGGTGGACCAGGGCGGGGGGCCAGCCTGAACCGCCGGTGTCCCCACAGGCCCTCAGCCGCTGCAGCCGGTCTCCCCGCCTCTCCCAGGTAACCCCCTTTATGGGCTCGGGGGGACCCTGTTCTCCAGGAAGGGTCTGTTCCCCTCTCCTGCAGTGCTGCTGTCCCCTCTGCCCACAGCCCCGCTCCGACAGCCTGGGCTCCTCCTCGGACAAGACCCTGCCGTCCATCTCGGAGACAGAGGGCAGCTCAGGGGTGCCCGGGGGGGCTGCCCCGCCCCTGCGGCCCCTCCTGCTGCCCGGCCTCAGCCCTGCCCGGCCCCAGGGCTCCCTGCTCAGCCTCCTGGGCGAGGAGCTGCCCCCGCTCTCGGCCCTCCTCTCCTCCCCCTCCCCCCACGCCCCCCCCAGGGGCTCAGCTGCCCGGAAGCCCCCCCAGCGTCTCATTCCCCCACTGGGACCCTGTGGACCTCTGGACCTCAGTCCTCGGTGAGACGCCAGCCTCCTCTTCTCTCCTCTCCTGTCCTGTATGCCCTCTCGCTTCCAGGACCTCTGCGGGCTCCATCCCCAGCGTTCCTAGGGGTGCTCTTTCCTGTTACCCCGGCTGCTCTGCCCTTCCCACCCAGCTTACAGCCCATGCCTTTGACCACTGCCCTTCCCCATTCCATGGCTGAGGCCCTTTCACCCTCTGCCCAAGCTGCTCTGGCCTGTACACCTTCCGTGTGTTGACGGGCACTGCCCCATCCCCAGGGTAGTAGATGGCATCGAGGACTCAGGCAGCACAGCTGAGGCCCCTACGTTCCGGTTCAGCAGGAGGCCTGAGCCCCCAAGGCCCCGCTTCCAGGGCCCCCCTGCAGGTAAGGGCCAGTGGCAGATGTCAGCTCACCGTCAGCCACCCATCCTTCATCCATCCATCCATCCATCATCCCTCAACCATCTATCCATCCACATCCATCCACCATCCATCCATCATCCATCCATCTACCATCCACCATCCATTCATCTTCCAACTCCCATCCACCATCCATCATCCATCCATCCATCTACCATCTGTCCATCCCACATCCAGCAGGGACCTACTGCATGCCAGGCACCAAACTAGGAAGGCACAGATAAACCAGACCTGGCCCACACTCTTGAGGAGATCCCTTCCTAGTGTTGGGGACAACTGTGTATCCAGATAAGTGATTCTAGAGTCAGGTACAAAATACCACTGAGACACAAAAGCAGGACTCTGTTAGCAGAGGAAAGGACACTGAGTTGCTTCTTAGAGGGGTTAGGTTCCTGGCGTGGTGGTGCACGCCTATGACCCCAGCTCTCTGGGAGGCTGAGGGAGGAGGACTGCAAGTTCAAGCCCAGCCTGGGGAACTCAGTGACTCAGTGAGACCTTGTCTCAAAGTAAGAAATTAAGTAAAGGTCTGGGGATGTCGTTCAGTGTGAAGGCCCTGGGTTCAATCTCCAGTACTAAGAAAAGGAAAGAAACAGTGATTGGGGTAGGGTAGGACTTCGCCCTGTGGAGCAGCTGTTGAAGGGCACCAGGGCGCACACAGCGGAGGGACACCGAGGGACAGGGGCTGGGCTGGCAGAGGCTCCACCCCGAGCGCACGCGGGTGGAGGGAGGGAGGCGCCCCGAGAGCCTTCCTCTCTGCTCCCTGCCTGCCCCGCTGCCCCTGTCCCTGTCCGTGTCCCAGGCTCACCCTCACTCCTCTCCTGCAGGCCCCAGGCCGGGCCCAGAGCTGGCCACTGAGGCGGAGTCGGTGAGGGAGAAAGTCTGCGGGCTGAACCAGGAGGTGGGTGAGGCGGGCACCCATGGGCATGGCTCGGGAGCGGGGGTCCTGGGTTCCAATCCTCACACCGGCTGGATGGCCTTGTGCAAGTCCCACGAGCTCTCTGGACTTGAGTTTCCTCACCTAAAAACAGGTGAAATTATAACACACCCTTCCCAGAGGTGGGACATGCAAGTGGGCTGCAGCTAGCAGTGAAGCACTCCTGCAGCCAGCCAAGGTTCGAAGCCTGGGATGAGGCCCAGGGCAGGGGTCTGTGTGGCCCCCGCCCTGGGCAATGGGGGGGCAGGCGGAGGCTTCTGTGGCCTGGATGAGCCCAGAGTCAGCGCCTCCGGCCCCTCCCGAGGGATCCCAGACCAAAGTATTGCTGGTCGCCATGGCACAGCCAGGCCCACCCCAGGGAGTCACCTTCCCCTGGGCTCTGATAAACAGCGGGTACCTTGAGGGGCGGAGCCCGGGCCAGGGCAGGACCTGCCCCGAACTGCCTCACAAAGGGGGAAGTCCTGTTTCTGCTCCCTGCCACAAACGCACCCCACTTTTAGACCAGTGGTCCCCAAACCTGAGTGTCTGTCAGTCACCTATTAAAATACAATTCCTGGCAAGGATGGAGGTGGCTTCCTGCCATCCCTGCACTCTGGGAGCCTGAGGCAGGAGGGTTAAAAATTCAAGACCAGTGGCCACGATATAGTTCAGTGGCACTGCCTGCCTGGCAAGCACAAGTCCTGAGTTCAATCCCCAGTACCAAAAAAAAAATTCAAGCCTAGTTTGGGCACTTTAGTAATTTAGTGAGACCCTGTCTCAAAGTAAAAGGGGTGAGGATATGTACCTCAGTTCAAAGGCCCTGGGTTCAATCCCAGGTCCTGAAAATAATGCAGATTCCTGGGCCTCACTCAATTTGGGGTAGGACTGGGGTGGGCCCCAGAAATCCCCACTTGGACAGGTTCCTCGACTGACTGCATTTGCGGAGTTTGAACACCACAGTGCAGGTGCTTGAGCCTGTGGCCGGTGACTCTCGGGACACAGGTCTATGCTTTGTCAAAGGGAGGGAAGGGAATAGGCCTGCTGCTGCCTCAGATCCTTGGACAGAGACTGGGGCATCTGCCCGGGCCGTCCTCCCAGGGTGAGGGCCTGGAACTCTGGAAACCACAGAGTGGGGTGCCTGCGGCTCCGCAAGACCCCTCCGTGTGTTCTCGACAGATTTCACGCCTCAACCAGGAAGTGTCTCAGCTGAGCCGGGAGCTGCGGCTCATGATGGGCCTGCTGCAGGCCCACATGGGCCCCCTGGGGTCCCCGGCACCCACAGCCTGGCCTCCAGACCTTCCTCGTCCCAAGTGGAGGCCACTGTGCAGCTCTCCTTGTGCCTCCGGACCACCCAGTAGCCTCCAGGACACGACGCTTGCTGAGGTCCACTGCCCGGCCCGCGCGGGCTCCACACCGTCTGCGCCGGTCCCCCGTCCCTCAGAGCCTGACTTGCCGAGCCCCTCTGCGGTGCCTTTACCTGGGACCCCAAGCCTCGCCAGGCCCAGCCTCCAGTCCAGGTCGGATTCACTGCACTGACCCCGGCCTGGGCCCGGGCCTGCCGTTAGGGAGGACCCGGGCCCTCACCCTTTGCTTCAGGTCTGGCTGGCACCAGAGTCTCGGACTTCTGACCCCACCCCTTCTGCAAACCTTCCCCATCCTCCTCTTTGAGGGGCTGTCCAGGGCCTGGCGTCCAGCAGCAGAGGACTGGGAAGACGGCGGGGCTGGCGGATGCCTCAGGCTTCTTCCTCCCAGGAGCCAGAAGCAGGTAGAGACTGGGCCAGGGCGGGCGGGGGCCCAGGTGCAGCCTGGAAATGAAGGCTAAGGCACAGCCGGGGCTGCGTCCACGGGGGGAACTCCTCCCCGGAATCAGCTCAGCGACACCCTGGGGTCCTCTGTCCCGGCTCCTGAGTTCTCTGCCGGAGACTCCGAGGACAGTGTCACCCTGAGAGGGGCACACGTGCAGTTCTGGTTGGATGTGAGCAACCAGGATGTCCTAGGCCTCTGCCATCTGCCCAGGCCTGAGGGGCTCCCAGCATACACAGGAAGCAAACTGACAGCCCCCAGTATGTCGTCTTCGCCTCTCAGAGCATTTTCCCAAAATGCAAATGAGCTGCCAACATTAAAAAAAAGATAGGTCACATAGAAGTCCAGTATTTCATCTGGGCGTGATAGCGCACACCTGTAATCTCAGCACTCTGGGAGGCTGAGGCAGGAGGATTTCAAGTTATACACCAAGACCTTGCCTCAAAATATAAAAACGTAGGGGACCGGGGATTTAGCTCAGTGGTTTCATCGCCTGCTACGCAAGCGCAAGGACCTGAGTTCAATATGTGAAGGGCTGGGGATGTAGCTCAGTGGCACCGCAACTGCCTAGTAGGCACAAGGTCCTGAGTTCGATTCCCAGTACTGGGGGGAAAAATAATTTAAAACTGTGTAGCATTTCCCACCCTGAGCCAACAGTTATCTGGCGATTACTGGTGATCACTTGGTGCTGGATGGCTACTGGCCTCCTGGGGGGGATCCCTGGGGATTAAACCCCTGGACTTTGCACTAAGCTACATTCCCACCCCATTTTTTCAAGTCTCACTAAGTCACTAAGTTGTCTAGGCTGGGTTTGAACTTTGTGATCCTCCTGACTCAGCCTCCCAGAGTCCTGGGATCACAGCAGGGGGGGGTCACCACACCCAGCTGCCCACTGTCCACTTTAGATGGGGTCTACAGTCCCCCATTCTTTGTAGCCCCATCTCTCTGGATCATTTCCTGACACCCAGGGGCCTTCTGGAGCTTCAATTCTTTGCCCGGTCTCTGTACAGAGCCCTGCCTGAGAGTGGGTTCCTGGCTCCATGGCCAAGGCGTCGCTTCCGCCCTGAATGTCCGTTTCTACCCCAGGCTCCGTCTGCCAACACCTCTGTCCGTGTCTCCGAAGGCTGTCTCTAGGGCTGGTCTCTGCTGCTAGCCAGCAACCCGAATCGCTCCAGTGTCACTGCCGACCCGCCCACCCTGGCCAGAGCCCTCCATACGCCCAACACCCCAGGTCACTTTTGGATAGGAAATAAACTTCTATTTTTGTAGCCCTTAGTGCTGGCTGTTTCTGGGGTTTGGGCTGAGTGCCCCAGGGCTTTGGAGGAGCCGACGACAGTCATCCCTGCCACCCCCAAGGCCCTGTTGCTGTCTCTAGGAAAGGCAGACGCCAGCCAATCCACTGGGCACCGGGTGAGCCACCAGGGACCCCAGGGGTGAGGAGAAACCTTAATGAGCTCCCAAGGGGCTGTCATAGCCCATCCTCCCCATCCTGGATCAGGCCCTCGTCCAGCCCTGCAAGGATGGGCCCAGGGGACCCTGGGTGTCCTGCATAGGGAACTGCTGCCAGGTGTGTGTGGGCGGGTGATCACCAGCTAAGAACCAGCTTAAGAGTCCTCCCCCTCTCCCAAGGCCTGTCTTGTCTCTCAGCTTCAGCACTCTGATGACTACTGTCAGGGGGGTAGGAGGGGTTTGGGGTGTTGTAAGAAACAGGCACCTTGGGCAGGGCATGGTAGCGAGGGCTGTGATCCCAGCACTGAGGAGGCTGAGACAGAAGGATTACCAGAGGCCAACAGTGAGTTCAAGTCCAGCTCAAACTCCAGAGAGACCCTATCTCAAGAATCAAAGGAAAGAAGAAAGAAAGAAAGGAAGGAAGGAAGGAAGGAAGGAAGGAAAAAAAAACAAAAACAAAAAAAACAAGCACCCTGTCAATCAGCTGGAACTAGGTGTGGGCATAGCTGTTTGTCTGGTTGTCCCAGACTGGTTGATTCTCCAGGGTTGGCTCCAGAGTAAAGTTGGTTAAGCCGGTGTCCGAGGGGACAGAGGCCACAGCCGTCTCGGGTGGGTTTTGATTTGTTACAGTTTTTTAAATTTTTTAAACAATCTATGTAGTTCAGGGTGGCCTGGAACTCACTATCTAGCCTAGGCTGGCCTTGGACTCACGGCGATCCTCCTGCCTCAGCCTCCCGTGGGCTGGGCTGACAGCCCTGTGCCACCACAGCCGGCTCTGCGTGCAGATTGTACGTAGGGTCCCTGGGAGACGCTGGAAGAGCAGGTACCGGCCAGCGTTGGGAGGCGTGGTTCTGGTCTTCAGGGGAAGGGCGCAGGCGGGGTCGCCGGCCTCAGAGAGCAGGGTGGCTCTGGATGGGGTGTGGGTAGGGCCCCCCAGTCCTCTGGTCACCGTGCCACCCCGCTGCAGGCACCCTCCGTGCCCGCCTTCGGCGCGGACTTGGCCGGGTAGGGCCGGGCCGCCTTTTCCAGTGCGCCGAGTGGCGGGCTCCGCCCTCCTCCCTCTAGCAGAGTCCCGGCCGTCCTGGCTCCGCCCCTCCCCGCCCCGCGGACTACGAGTCCCACCAGGCCCCGCGCTCTCTTCCCCGCCTCTCCCGCGGCCCCCACCGGCACCGCCCGCGGGTCGGCCGAGTGTGCTTCCCATTGGTCCGCAAGCCCTGTCAGTCACCTGGAAGCATGAGGGGCGGGGAGAAGGCGGAGATCCGGATCCGGAGCGGCTGAAAGGCGGAAGTGGAGGCCGGAGCCTGGGACACCGCCGGGGGGACAGGAACGGAGTCGGCTGGAGCCCCCGCCCCACAGAACGCCGCCGCCCCGGAGCCACGGTGAGTGTGCTCGTTCCAGTATCAGGGTCTTGCCGCCCCTTCCTCCCGCCCAATCCCGGCTTAGGGGGTACTGACCCCTCCCCCGGCCCGTAGCCCCCTCTTGAGGAGCTCCCCGGGCATCGGGCCAAAGGGGGAGCCCCTTCTTTACTTTGCCAGCCTATCGCCCGGGAGCCTAGGGAATCTCCGCGGCTCTCCCAGGCCTCTCCAGCCCGGTGGTGGAGAGAGGGACCCCAAGTTCCTCTTCCCCTGCTCCCGGAATGTGAGAGGCTCCACCAGGTGCGAAGGAGCCGGTCTCCCTTCTGGTTTGGAAGTGTCAGGGAGCGCTGTCTGTCCACGCTTTTCTTCTCTGCGTCCCATCCGAAACAGTTGTCCCCTCCAGCCCTGGAGAATTTTTTATCTCGTTTTCCTTTGGGCTGCGGGTGGCGGGCGGGGGAAGGGTCTGGGCGTGTCCGATCCTCGCCCCGAAGTAAGTTTGTAAGTTTGCTGCCCCGCTTCTCACTTCCTCTCCTTCCAAAGCCAGGACCTCGGCAGAGTTTGAAATCGGGGTCACTGAGTAGGGACGAGCTGTCTTCTTGTTTTGTCCCCTGTTCCCCCAGCCCTGTCCTCTAGTTCTGTTGTTTTCTCCAAATCTCTCTTCCTGCCTCTGAAGAATTTAGCTGAGGCTTGCTCAATCTTAGCTCTAGATCACAGATCCGGGTGGATCTGCCCATTCATTATCTTCTCTCCTCCTCCTCCTCCCCCTCCCCCACCTCAGGCTCAGTCCTGCCCTCCCAGAGCATGTGAGTGGTTCCCCAGCCCCCTCTGAGGACTGCTGACCTGTAGGGATGGGAATATAGACCAAGCATGAGGACTCTGGGGTTGGGGGCACCTCTTTCCTACCCCCAAACAGGTTTGCCACCCTGAACAGCAGTTCCCGCCACAACAAGGTCTCCAGTCCATTCTCGCTTGGGCTTGTGGCAGAGGAATAAGTTGAGATCCCAGTGCGCACTCTTAATGTGGTCATGTTTTAGCCGAGGAGGTTCACATACAGGCCAGAGACTGCTGGTTCCCCGACTCTGGACGCATGGGCCTTGTGCATTGCTTGGGACATAAGTGTGTGCAATGGCTGCTGTCTCAGAACGAGCTGGAAGGCTTTTTCATTATGTGACCAAAGTACAGTCCCGAGACTGTGCCTTAATGAGGAGTAGCCAGGCTCTGAGGCCAGCACTGACCCTTGCTATCTACGGGAAGGAAGGGAAGGAAAACTGTGCAGGCCTTGGGAGTTTCTGTAGCTCCTCATCGTTCTGGGCCACTTTAAGCTCTTGGATGCTGCTTACGAAAGCTCAAGTTTTGCTTTGAGCTCTTTTTGGCTACTTCTGGATAGCTACTAGTGTCTGATTCCCATGATTTGTTTATGAGACAGGGTCTGGCTGTATAGTCCAGCTGGCCTGGAACTCTCAGCAATCCTGCCTCAGCCTCCTGAGTGCTGGGATTACAGATGTGAGCCACCATACCCGGCTCTGACTGCTATAACATGTTCAGAGCTAGACCTGTGATGCACTTACTTCCTTTACATTGGACGACAATAACCCTGCACAGGGTCACTGGCTGGACCTCGAGCTCTGTCTGTGGGCCCGGGGGAGCCTCTGGCCTCACTGGTCCTCAGCCTGAGGGGCGTGGCCACCTCGCCTTCGCTCTTCAGGTGTGGACTGTGATTTGGGGCGTGCCTCAGGAGTCCTGGGATGAGGCAGGCCAGCTTCAGAGGGGGTCTTCCTCCCTTTGTGTGGACAAACTCTTCTGGCTCCAACTCCAAAACAGGCTTTAGAAGGAGAACCGAGGGAACCAGAGCCCAGGTGGTGATACAGCTCCTGGCATTCAGAAATTACAGGATCCCAGTGGGACACTGTTCCGCAGGGCAAGCTGGGGCTCTGATGGGCCTTTTTCTGCCTTTCTGCGGCAGGAGGACTGAAACAACTGTTTATAAGTTGTAAAGTAGCAAAATTCTCTTCACCCACATTCCTCCCAAGGGTCCTCATGGTGGTGGTGGAGTTCGCACCTGCACTTTAGAGACAATCTCAGGGGCTTGGGCGCCTTGCCCAAGACTGCAGTTACAGAGGGTCAGGCCAGGCCCGGGACTCTGGTCGGGTGCAAGCCCCTCCTGTCCAACAGTGGGCCCTGCTCCCATCTGGCCTCCTGTTGCTCCAGTAAGCGAATGGACATGCAGGGTGTTTGTGTGGACGGGCACAGTGCAGCCCCTTACCCTTCAGCTTCCCTCCTTGGCTTCGGTGTCCCACCCTGCATCTGCGCTGACTTCCTGTCTTCTTTCTTGACCTGCTCCCCTGTCTCTGCCCCTGGAGGCCATGAAGGAGGCCTAGGCCAGTCCTCTCCAGGGCCCAGGAGTTTGCTGATAATCTGTGTGCATTAAATCTCCTGGAAACCTCAAAGTCTTGACTGCTGATTGCCGGAAAATGAAAGTAAAAGCGAGAGGACTCAGGGTCCCCCTGGGTGAGTAAGGGTTGAGGGCCCACGGAGCTGTCCAAGGACCCCCTGCCCCATTTGCCCTGGTTCCCCCCAAGAGCCTGCTGTGAGTGGGAAGAATGGCCCCCCAGCTTCCCCTGTCAGAATTCACCTGGAAGCAGAGCAAGGTCAGAAATGTACACTCAGACCCATCCAGCAAGGACTTACTAGAAAACCTGCTTCTCCTAACCCCTTCTTGGGAAACTGAGGCAGTATGGTGGGACAGAAGGCACTGGGCAGAGCTGTGGAGTCAGCCAGACCCGAGCTCCTTCCGGGATGTGTGACCTTGGACTTGTCACTTGACCTCCTTTAGCCTGTTCCTTCCAGGACAGTCAGGGCGCTAAATAGCTTTCAGAATTAGCAACAAAGTGCCAGGGGCAGAACAGGTTGCCACAGAGGCCTTGAAAGCCGTCCCGCTCCGAGACCAGCTGATTCTGGTCCTTGCTTGCCAGCTTCATGCATTGGCTCATTTCTCGGATCTTGAACACAACTGGCGAGGGCTGTGTTCCCATTTCACAGAGGAGCATGCTTGGGCAACACTGCTTCCACCCCGGGGTTCCCAGCCCCTCCTGGTCTACCCAGCGAGGCTTCCGCCTTCCAGGCACCCGGCAGGTCCATGCTGAAGCAGCATGTGTCTGTCATGGATTCAAATGCAAGTTTGCATGGTTTAAGCTACAGTGGGAGACTTGATGACAGCATGGTGCTGGTAGTGGACTTCTCTGGGGACTTTCTCATCAGGATTCCTGGGGTTTGCATTTTCCCCCTTCCTGGCTTGGCACTTTTGTCCAAGCTGTTGGAGAAGCAGTGGTTCAGGTCAGGTTTAAAAACTAGCATGTCCAGAGATGGGCGTGGTGGCACACACGTGTGATCCCAGTTCTCAGAAGGCTGAGGCAGGAGGATGGATGGCTGTGAGTTCGAACTCAGCCTGGGCTACATAGTGAGACCCTGTCTCAAAAAACAACAACAAAAACTACAAAAAAATAATGGATAGTCAAACCCAGGCGAGGTGGCATGCGGGCAGCTGAGGCAGGAGGATCATCTGGAGTTCGAAGCCAGTTCTGGGCTACTTAATGAAACCCTGTCTCAAAAATCTAAAATAAATAAATAAGAACTATGTTGTCTAAAAATCAAGGCAGCGGTGCTTGCCGAGCCTTGGCAGGAACTCTTATGGAGTCCTGCAGTCGCAGCCTGGCCTCCGAGAATACAGGGGCAAGAACAGCAAACAGCTGTGCGCCAGAGCCCGGGCTCCCTCCTTGCGTCCTCCACGGCCTGGGAGGTGGGGCCCGTGTCTCGGGTGGGCACGGCGCAGCAGGTGGCAGAGCCGGGGCCAGGTCCTGCCGGGGCTCCTGGTGGTGCGCAGCCTTCCCGTCTTCTGCCCGGAAGGCTCTCCCAGCGTTGCTCCCACAGCTCAGCCTGAAAGTGCCTTCCCCCTGCCTACACTCGGGCTCTCCTTGCTGCTGTGTCCCTGCTCTGTGTGCCCCTCCCCTGGCGTCCGTGCCCGGCCGGGGAGGGGGGGACAGGAGGAATCCTGTTATGTGGCCTGCGGCGTCCCCAGCTCGGAGCTGCTAAGGGCTGCTAATGGCCTGGAGGCGTCCAGACCCGCTGGCTTCCCGAACACACCCTCCACCCTCGCTGCGCTCGCTGGAGCTCGCTCGCGTGTGGAGCCATGGGTGTCCATGCTGTTGTCCTGCCATGGGGCGTGAGCCGAGTCTCAGTCCGCCTCGCCTCGCAGCTGCCCGGACCGAGCAGAGCGAACTGGAGGGCAGGACGCAAAGACCGCTGTGTGAGGGGCGGGGCTTAGCTGGCGGGGGCGGGGCTCCAGGCCGGACCTGGGGTTTCCAGGGCAGGAGGCCCAGGAGGTGAGTGTCGCTGTGGCCTGGGATGCTGTTCTATGGGCGGGCTGTCGCTGTGGGTGGGGAGCTCCGGTCCAGCCAGGGGCACCGCGGGGATACAAGAAGGAGGGAAGGGGGGAAAGAAACCTCCAGGCCTGCGCCCTCTGTTCCCGCTCCGTGGCCAGTGAACTGTCCTCGGCGTGGGCCTAGGAGAGCTGCGGCCTGGGGTTCCATTTAGCGGTGGCAGATTCTCAGATGTCCTTCGATGCCAGTGCCGCTGGCATTTGAGGCGTCTGGCCAGGTGTCCGTGGAAAGGGCCTAAGTTGGCTTTGCTTGTCTTTTTCACCGTTAGAGGCGATCCTTCAGGAGCACTTGGGAGGAAGACCTGGGCGTGAGTGGCGTTTCCCTCGCAGGCAGGCGGCCGAGGGGGCCTCACGGTGGATGCCAGCCACGATCAAGCGGCCAAGGTACCGCCTGGCCGTCGCGGACACTGACGTTGCCCCTTTCCTGAGGGCAGAGTGTTGCCCGAGTTGTTGACCGCTCAAGACGTCATTCTCCCATGGTTGGTTGGTCTGGATTTTGGGCCCTCCTTCCTTTCTTTTTTTTTAATTTCTGATTTTTGTTAGTCATGTTTGTAGTACATAACGATTGCATTCATTGTAGAGAATTGGTACATGTACATAACACATCTCAGTTCTTTTTTCCTCTTTCCCCTGTATTTATTTGTTCAGTTATTTATCTAGTGGTATTGAGTCACAGATTCTTATTTTACACTTTGGTTTATAATCCAATCCTGCTTTCTCTGGTCGCTCAGATTGTTCCAGCTCTCACTGTAGGCCACTCTCAGCCTCCTGTGGATGCCCCTACTGCGTCATTGTGAGGCTTCTTGTTTGAGTTTTGGTTGTGGGAGCACTTCCTTGCTTTTTGGCACTACAAGATGTTCTTTGTCTGTTTCCTGCTGGGATCCTAGAGCCAGCATTCTTCCCAAGGCTGCTGTGTGGTTTGCTTCTCCCTTCTGCACTGACATGGAGTTCTGTGCACAGTTCAGGTTGTTTCTTCTCAGAGTCATCGGGGACACCGCGTGGGGTCAGGCGACCCTGTGCCTGGCGCCCTGGCCTTCGAGGACCTGGCCACCCCACTGCACCCCGCCCCGTCTGCAGCTGGTCCTGCATGGTCGGTTGGATCTGGTGTTTGCTTTGCAGTTTACCACGTGCTGAGACCAGGAGGGGTGCTCATAGCCCCCCCGCCTCCCGTCTCAGGGCCATGTTGCCCACCAAACCTGCCTGAGCTCTGGCTCCGCAGATCCCGAGACAGTCCTCATGGCCTGGGCCCCCACTTTTGCAGCCATTCGGAAGCGCAGCCCCTCTCCAGAGGGTTTATGTGGCAGTGGTGGCTGGGGCCCGCTGTCACTTGGAGCTGCAATCCCGAATCATGGAGCAGGTTGAACCCTCCGGTCGTCCTGTCACCTCTAGATGTGTAACTGAGCCCCGAGCTGGCTACAGGCCTCCTGCCTCTATTCTTAGCCCCGTGTGTCCCCCTCAGGTGGTGAGGAGGAGGCTCAGGAGGTCTCGTCACCCTGGCTGCCCTCGAGCTCGTCAGATTCTCCCTGAGCTGCCCTGACTGCTGCGGATCTCCAGCCCTTGTCATTTTCAGCTGGGCTTAGAAGGAACCGGTTTCCCCTCCCCCTCCACAGCGGTGGCTTCTTCCCGTTCCTGAGAGCAGAGTGCTTGGAGATGAAGGGGTGGCTTGGGGCTGCACAGCTGTGCTGTCCAGTGGGCTGCGGCTGCAGCTGTGGCTCTGCCAGGTCTGCGGAGAGGTGGCCATCCCCGCTTCGCTCCAGGGAATCCGAGGCTGGGGAAAGGCATCCTGGTCAGCATTTGGGGTGGGTGGGGTGGGGTGAAGGGAGGGGGAGGGCCATGTGGAGACCCCCAACCTTCAGGGTTCCCGGGGGCCAGCACCCAAGTGCTGCGGGGCTGGTGCTTCCTCAGGGCCCTGGACGTGGGGTACCAGTCCTCTTTATAGGAGAGGAGGTATTTCAGTGCCACAAGCCACAGCCATCCTGGTAACTGGGGTGCAGGGCGTGACTGAAGGTGTCCAGCCAGGGAGCGGCAGGAGCTGAAGGGTCGTTCAGGAGGTGGGGACCCTCGCTGGCTGTGACTCTGTTGGGAACTGGGTCGTTTGGGGACAGACGTGTCCTGCATCCTTGGCAGCCCTCTGCAGGCCTGCTCTGTCACCTGTGTGGTTCTCCAGGCCCACGAGCGCCTGAGCCCAGTGCTACGTGCAGCGATGACAGAGGTGCCCAGCTGGGCTTGGAGTGGCACTGTGGTCCTTGTCATCACAGTGCAGTGACAGCAGTGCCCGTGGCTCCTGCCTTCTTGTTCCTGTCACCCCCAGGCCCTGCGTCCTCAACCTTCATCTCCACAGCAGTCTTGGACGGGGCACCAAGGAGGAAGTGTGACTTGGCCATTGGCGTTTAGGCCCATTTGTCACCTGAGTTCCTCACCTGGCACCATCCTGTTTCATTCCTCAAAAGCGAAGAAGGAGGGCTGGGGATTTAGCTCAGTGGTTCCGCCGCCTGCCTTGCAAGCACAAGAACCTGAGTTTGATCCCCCATACCAAAAAAAAAAAAGTGAAGGAGGAGCTGGCCTCAAGCACTGTCCTCGGGTGTCCATGCTTTTGAGGACAGCCACTGTCTCTCCTATGACAGAGCAGAAGCTCTGACCTTGTTTGTGGGGTTCCCCTGGCCACGGGGTGTGCCCTGGTGTCTGAGGAGGAGGAGGAGGAGCAGAAGGTGGCTGCTGGCACCTGTCATCTGGTGCTCTTCCCCTTTCTCCTCTGGATGCCCCCTCGGGACTGTCCTGTGGAGTGGGGTGGTGAGGCCCCAGTGGGAGCTGAGCAGAGTCTGGGGGAGGTGCTGCTGCCGTCCCTGACTTCCGGCAGATGTCCTTGGAGACCTGGCACTGGGGCAGTACAGGGTAGAGCCGTGCTGGAGGGACGCCAGCCCTGGGCGGTGAGGTGGCAGTCATTGGCGTCCTAAGCTGTGGTCACTGCCTGGGTGGGCAGGGAGGCAGCTGGGGGTTGGCTGGGTCTTCTCAGTATCCCCTAATGTGAGCCACTGAGCAGCTGCCCCATGGCCGTCCCGACCGAGTGCACGTGGGTGCTTGTGCCCAGAGAGTGCTACAGTGGATCCACGGAGGGGTATGGGGTTGGAAAGTCATCTCAGGATTCAGGGGCCTCCCAGAATCACTAGGCAGAGCCAGGCCTGGTGGTGCACGCCCAGGATCCCAGCGCTCTGGGAGGCTGAGGCAGGAAGATCAAGAGTTTGAGCCCTGTCTGAGCAACTTAGCAAGGCTTATCTCAAAACATATGAAAACTGGCTGGAACCCATGGGCCATGGAGAGCTGAGAAGGAGCTTCGAGATCGGGGAGGGTTCCTGGAGCTCCCACCAGGGCCTGTCCCTCAAGAGCGGCCTCCATCGTGCACTGGTCAGCCCTTGCCTGAGAGACAGGGCCACAGAAACTGGCCGTGCTGTCCTGAGCAGTACCTGCACACTGGGCAGTGTGTCTTGGGGCCACACACCAAGGTGCCCCACACTCCCCTCACAGGCCTTGGTGTGGGCAGGGCCAGGGCCAGGCCGGGCTGGGCTCCTGGCCTCCCAGTTGTTGCACGTCCCCGCACCTGGGCCCGGAAGGGCATCCGTCCACCCAGGAGCTGGGTGTGCTGGGGCGGACCCCTTCTGTGGCCACCGGAAGGCAGCATCTTCCTCTGCTGCCACCTGCCACCTGCTGGTGAGAGGAGCCCTCTCTGGTCCCCACTCCTCTGCTCTTCTGCAGTATTCGTGACCTCCTCTGTGTCAGAAAGGCGAGAATACCATGGCTAAGTCCAGACAACAAGTATGAGCCTCATGAACACGCAGCAGTGGGGCTTTTGTGTGGAGTCCTTTTCTTGCCCTTCCCTGACTCGTGTTTCCGGTAGCTTCTCTCTTGGTCGACCCGTTTAGCAAGGGCCTCACTAGTGTGTGGCGAGGCCAGCACTCTGCCACCTGAGCTGTACCCTCATCTTTTGGTTGTTTCTTATCACAGGCTGAGTCTTTGCATGCTAGTGAGGGAGCAGAAAGTACTTTAAATAATGGAGAGCTAGATTTGTCTCATATTCCTGAGCTTTAATTTTTGTTACATGCAAAATTCCGCCTCATGAGCAGTTTTTAACCTTGTTGTTGACAGGTAACTTACGTGTTACAGCTGGGCTTGTGTGCAAGTTCAGCTTCCAGGTCTGAACAGCACTTCCACGCTGTGTGTGTCCCCGTTCCTGCCCATCAGTGTAGAACCTCCCCCTGCAGCGTGTTTTGGGTGTCATCCGTTTCCCTTGCTTAGAGCCGTGTCCTGCTGGAGACACAGAGGCCCTCGTCCCGTTGTCATGGATGAGCTGGTGATGTCACTGACAGGGAGCTGGGCCTCAGTGAGAGTCCTGGGTGCCTGTACGACCCTGGGCGGTGACCTCCTGCCTTGCGTTGCCCGCCATGCCTGGCCAGCGAGGCCTGGGTGTTCATGAAGCCCCCCTCTGCCCCCCGGGCCCTGGCAGCCCAGGAGGTGCGGCTGTTCATGGCCTTGGGTCCCAGGAGCCTCATCCAGCCTCTTCAGCCACCCAGGGTGCCCAGGATGAAGAGCCCCAGTGTGCAGATAAGGAGCTGAGAGCATCAGCTGGCCCGGCCACGGTCACAGCTGACCCGAGGTCAGTGGAGCCTCCAGCGTCCCAGCCTGGGGGTCACACAGGGAGGTGCTGGCTACCTTGGGGCCTCAGCCGCTCCCTCCCTCTGGCCAGTAACCAGCCTGAAGATGGGCAGGGCTGCTGTGAGGCACCGCTCCTTCCTGTGCGGCCTGAGGCCCCACTAACCTGAGCCTCGGAGGCTCCCCTGGCTCCCGCTCAGCCTTTGAACCCATCGCCTCCCTGCTGTGACCCCAGGTCACTCCTGCTGTCCTCTCCATGGGACTCAGGGCCACCCTTTCCCCCAAAGCTGGGCCAGAACCACCTCAGGCCAGGCCGGGTAGGCTCCTGCTCTCCGCCCCCTCCCTGGCAAACCTAGAGAGTGCTGGCCCCGCCAGCCCGCAGCCGGGTCCTGGTCTGCCCAGTGTCCAGGCAGGGCTGAGGGCCTCGCAGTCTGCAGCCAAACAGGAAGCACGAGAGACGCAGTCAGCTGGACTCACTGGCCCTCTCCCTGGGAAGGACCGGAACTATGCAGCGGGTGGCTCTGGGGGTTTGCAGAGGAGACTGGGACCAGGGACAGGGAGGCTGTAGCAGGCCTTGGGGCCTTGGAGGCACGAGCACGGGGCCAGATGATGTGGGTGCCTCCTGTGCCCCCCAAGTTCCTTGCTCTCTGGGATTCCCAGCTCCACCTGGGCCACCCGAAGTTGGCCCTGAAAACCACTCCAGGACTTGCACTGAGACATGGGGTTTCCGGGACACTCTTTGGTGGGTCAGCCTGTTTCCTCGCACACAGAATGTCCCAGAGCTCGGCCATCCACCCTCCCTGAGTACTGGGGACACTCAGAACAGGGCGCCCCGAGTCCTCGCGCTCACTCCTTCCTGTGGAGGACGCGGGGCGGGTGGGTTCAGGGCTCTGGTTGGGAGGGCAGGAGGGGGGTCGGCAGCACCTGTCTCGCCGTCCCGAGGCAGCGGCAGTGCTGGAGGGGAATTTGACTTTGCCCCCAGCTGACTGCTGCAGCCCCGAAAGCCTCTGCCCGCCAGCCTGGGAGGAGCGGGTCTTCAGCTGCCTCTCCCTCGTCTGCCCAGCAGAGCCCCCTTCCCTGGCGCTTACCCTCCGGGCCCCTGGGAAGTGTTTTGTGTGCCGCCCGGGTGTCGACTGGCCCGGTGGCCACGGCGCTGCGGGCCAGCCAGGTCGCACCTGTCCCTGAGTCCTTGGGGGTCTCACGGATACCAGGGTCACCACTGCTTGCTGCACTTCTCTGGCATTGCAGGGGCCCTCAGTAACCGGGCCCCGTCACGAGGAGAGCCCATGGGCGTGGCTCGGGTGGCTTCCCGGAGCTGACCCTGTGGTGCCCATGCCCATGCATGTGCCTGAGGGTCAGTTGCTTGCCCAGAACTGGGGAGGTTAAGTCTTAGAGATAATGGTCGTACAGTCACTGAGCAAACGCCAGCTGGCTTTGCAAGCCACTCCCTTGGGTCAGCATTATGAGTTCCTAGAACAGTGTTGCAAGGAACCCTGGAGACGGGGCAGAAAGCACAGTGGCCACCTGGCTGAGGGGACAGCGTCTTGACTACGACAGTCTGAGCACCCCCCACTTCCTTCCTTGTTCTTCAGGGAAGGGGTGGCCCTGTTTCACAGCCCTTTCCCTTGGCGCTGTCTCGAGAGCAAACACTTGTTCCCGGCAAGTGAATCACTTCCTGCCCGTGCTCATCAGTGGCCGTGGGACCTCTGGCCTGGAAGATGATTCAGGTGAAGGAAGCGAGCCTGCGGCTGCTGGCTGGCTGGGTCAGGGAGCCATCCTCCCTCGAACCCCGGTCCTGGCCAGAGGACACACTCCCTTGCTGGGGTGGCTCGAGGGCCCCTAGGATCCCTCCTGGAGCCCCATCACCGGGGTCCTGGCTGCCCAGAGCCCTGGTTTGTAAAGCGTGGTCTCTAGGCTCCTGTGCCCTTTGCAGTTCCAAACCTGACAGAGTTGGAGCCTCCAAGCTGCACTCACCAAGTGGGAGTGTGCCCTCGGCCACAGGCCTCGATGTCTCCGTACCCCCTTATTCTCTGACTCCCTGCCTCTGCCCAAGGAGAGCGGAACCGAGGGAAAGCTGGCAGCCAGTCCTGCTGCTGGCAGAGCTCACCTAGGAGTAAGCTCGCGTGTGTGTGTGTGTGCACGCGCGTGTGTGCGTGTGCAAGTGTGTTGGTTTTTAATGTGTTTGTGAGGTTTCTGGCCCCTCAGGTGGGGAGGATGGGGAGGGGATGTGGCTGGCAGCAGACCCAGGAGCCCGGGCTGGCTTGGCCAGGCAGCAGCAGCGGAGCTGTGCTGAGGACAGCTGGCACTGGCCGGCCTGGTCCCCGCACACCCTGGGTCCAGGCGCCTTACCTTAGGGGCTTTTCCCTGGGGCTCCCTGCACCTGAGTCTGCTTCACTGCCCACTCTGGCCCTGGCTGCGGCCCCAGGACCAGACTACAAGTTTGTAGCTTGTTAACCTGAATTCTAATATCTTCCTGGGCTTTTATTTTTTGAGATGGGGTCTCACTGTGTAGTCCAGGCTGGCCTTGAACTCACCAGGTAGCTGAGGCTGATCTCAAACCTGATCCTCCTGCCTCAGCCTCCCAGGCGTGTGCCCCATTCCCGACCCAAAGAGCCTGTTGGTGTCATCCACAGGCTGGATCCCTCCGGTCCTGCTGCATTGTTACCTGGGGCAAAGGTGCAGCCTTGGGCCGGGCAGCCAGGTGGTCTCAGAACCCCCATCCTGCGGCCATACCGCAGCCTCATAGAGCAGGGAGGTGTTCGTCCGTCTGCCGCCCAGCCCAGCGAGGCTCGCCCCCCTTGTCCCTGCAGTTGGAGGCCGCCTCCCCACCAAGCCCTCTCTGTGCAGCACCAGCCCCCGCCCCACGCTCCCAGGGACCACGACAGCCTGCGGCACAGGCCATGGCAGGTCGGGGAGGCGCAGCTCGCCCCAACGGACCAGCTGTGGGAAACAAGATCTGCCAGTTCAAGCTGGTCCTGCTGGGGGAATCAGCGGTGGGCAAGTCCAGCCTCGTGCTCCGCTTCGTCAAGGGCCAGTTCCACGAGTACCAGGAGAGCACCATCGGAGGTGAGCGTGCGGGTGGAGCGGGGACCAGGAGGCAGTTTTGAGGGCAGGTGCCTCTGCAGCTCAGGAGCTCCAAGCCTGCAGCCGGGGCCCCACTGGTCGGCACTGAGGCTGAGAGGCAGGGCCAGGCCCAGCCTGAGACTCAAGTTGCCTCTGTGCTCCTGGGGACAAAGGTCCACGTCAGCAGTCCTTCTCCTGCTCCCTCCACGCCTGCCGCCTGTAGCTGGACACAGGAAGTGGGGTGATGGCTGGGGCCGAGGGGCAGACAAGGAGAGCAGCCTGCTCGGGACAGCTGCAGGTCAGGCAGAGGGGACCCCAGCTGTCGGTCACAACTTCAGAGGCCTCCTAGAACACCTGGCCAGCGCCCCGTGTTCCGGGCTCCGACTGGGTCCCCATGGTCCCCGAAGGTCAGAGTTCAGTGTGACCACGGGATGGCCTGGGGCAGGCGTGGCCGTGGGCTGGCGTGAGGCCCTGCCGACTGGGCTGGCTGGCCAGGCTGCCAGGCGTGTGCGCATGTGTGGGCCCTGACCACAGCCCCGCCCCGCCCCGCCCCGCCCCGCCCCGCCCCGCAGCGGCCTTCCTCACACAGACGGTCTGCCTGGACGACACGACGGTCAAGTTTGAGATCTGGGACACGGCCGGCCAGGAGAGGTACCACAGCCTGGCACCCATGTACTACCGGGGCGCCCAGGCCGCCATCGTGGTCTACGACATCACCAACACGGTGCGGCCCCGCCCCTCCCCTCCCCTGGGCCGGTGGGGTCTCCCGCCCGCCCCGCTCCCCGGGCGCTCCGGGTCCCTCATCTGCCCGGTCTCCTCAGGACACTTTCGCGCGGGCCAAGAACTGGGTGAAGGAGCTGCAGCGGCAGGCCAGCCCCAGCATTGTCATCGCCCTGGCCGGGAACAAGGCCGACCTGGCCCCCAAGCGGGCCGTGGAGTTTCAGGTGGGGTGGCGGGAGCCTGCGGCTGCGGGCGTCTGCAGGGTTTCTTACAGGTTGTGCTTTGTAAGCCAGGAGGTGCTTTTCTTGGTGTACCCCTGGGTGACATGGCTCCGGCCCCCAGGGCTAGACGTGCAGGTCGCACTGCGCCCAGCCAGGCTGTGTCCCTGCCGCCCGGGTTGCGGGTGACCGCAGGAGCTGTAGCTTCCCAGCCCCTGGCGGCAGGAGGGCGGGGTGCGGGGTGCCTGGGGCCCTCACTGGCCAGCTCTGGGGACCGGGCCTGCTGCCTGGGGACTTGGGTGTGAGACGTGCGGGGAGGCAGGGCCCTGGGTCCCACCGCATGTCCCTCCCGCCAGGAAGCACAAGCCTATGCAGAGGACAACAGCCTCCTGTTCATGGAGACCTCCGCCAAGACTGCCATGAACGTTAACGAGATCTTCATGGCCATAGGTGAGCGGGCGGGGGCGGGCCCAGGACCCGCCGTCCAGCGTGCTGGTGGCACGGCCATCCCCGCGGCTGAGCCAAGGAGACCCGGGCAGTTCAGCCAACAGCGTGCCAAGCCCGGGCTGGAGTCAGCCATCGTGCCCTGGCCTCCCCGCCCCTTCTTAGCGTCTGCGTATCCCTCCGGTTCAGGGTTCAAATCTTGGCCCTACCACTTGTAGTCCTGTGGTCCTAGGCAAGTTGCCTGGCCACCTGTGCCCAGCTTCTGTGTCATGTCTTCATGGGGTGGCGAGGGCCCACTGTACCCATGGGAGAAGCCCACAGACACTTCCTTCCCCCACAGCCAAGAAGCTGCCCAAGAATGAGCCCCAGAACACGGCAGGTGTGCCAGGCCGGAACCGAGGCGTGGACCTGCAGGAGAGCAACCCAGTCGGCCGGGGCCAGTGCTGCAGCAACTGAGCCCCTGCTGCCCTCTCCCCGACCCTGACCACGACCACCGGAATCCATGCTAACCAATCGCACTTAACGCCGCCACGGGCCAAGGGCCGGGAGGCTCGTGATTTCCCCGTCTGACTCTGATCTGGGCTGGGGAGTTGATCCACCTGCACCTTCTGTACAAATACTAATTCAATTTTAAGTCTTACGTCACTTTTTTAATATATGTGATCTCTGCTCTTCCCATCTCCTCTTCTGCTCTGCTGCTGGCCCTTCCAGCAACAGCCCGTGCTCCTGTCCCCACCTCCTCTGTGGGGACAGGTTGGAAGCAGTGACGTCTCCATGTCCCTCGCCAGAGGGCAGACTCAAGAGCACCCAGGTCCTCACCTTGTGGGCAGTGGCCTCGCCCAGGTGGCTCTCCTCAGCTGCAGCCCCCACTGGCCAGCTCTGAGCGCCAGACCACAGCATTAGCGCCACATCCGTGAGACAGCCACACGGCCACGGCCGCCCCCATCCTGGTCACCCTGACCTCTGTTCTGAGCCCTGTTCTGACCAAATCACGATGATGAGTATTGGGGGGTAGGGGGTGCAGGGGGACGGAACCAACTTTTTCTGTATTTTGTATTGTATGTTTCTTCAACATGTAACCAATCAGTATATTGTCAATAGAGTAAGCCAATCGATGGACCTCACCCTCGTCTCTGTCTTTCTCCGGCAGTCTGCCAGACCCTGGCCTCTCTAGGTCACCTGAAGTTAATCTAAAACCAACCACATCTCATGGGCCGGGGATTTAGCTCAGTGGTTTTGCCCCTTGCTGTGCAAGCGCAAGGACCCGAGTTCAATCCCCGGTACCAAAAACAAACAAACCAACCAACCACATCTCTTGAAGCAAACGCTTCCCCTGTGGGAGAGATGCTGGTAGTCATGGTAACCGGGAGACACGGCCTTAGTCACAGCTCTGCTGGGGGCTGATCTGGGGCCAGCCATAATGTGAAGTCAAGGGACCTGCAGTTGCTCTTCCCCGCTAGCTTACACTGCAGGGCATAGTGTGTTAAATGATCTCTATGGGTTTTGTTTCTTTGAGACAGGATCTCACTGTAGCCCAGGCTGTCTGCAAATCTGCAGCGCTCCTCCTGCCTCAGCCTCCTGAGTGCTGGGATTGCAGGTGTGCACCACCACACCTGCCTTCTGTATGGGGTTGGTTGGTCTGTACCAGGCCACCCTGGAAGCAGAAGGAAACTGCTGATGTCTTCTGGGATGTTGGCCTGGTCATGAAGGCGAGGCTATGGCACTTGGATTTCTCAGCCTCCAAGCAGGCCCACAGGGTCCTCCTGCCCCTCGGTGGCTACTCTCTGGGTCAGGTGGTGAGGGGGCCCTTCCTGCTCTGTGCTGCTCTCTGGTGGAGTCACCACTGGCTGGGAAGGCCACGACCCCATCCTGGTTTCTGATTCTGGAGCACCCTGACCTTGGGTGCCTTTTCTGCCTTCCTCCGCCCTTTTCAGGGCTGGGGGAACATTAGGACTCAAACCTGGGACTTTGATGTAGCAGTGAGCCACATCCCCAGCCCTTTATACTGTTTATTCTGAGATAGGGTCTCACTAAGTTGCCCCTGCTGGCCTTGGATTTATGATTGTCCTGCCTCACCCTCTCCAGTGGCGGGGATTCGGGAGTGTACCCCAGCTCCAACCCTCTACCTTTGTCTGGCCCCAGAAGACAGCAGACCCACAGCTGGTGCGGGGTGGTTTACTGGCTCAGTCCGGGCGGGGGCCCTTCTTAGAGCCCTGGCTCGGGAGGCTTGGGAATGGGTCGGGTGGGGCTTCAGGCAGAGGCAGTGGCCTGCATGGTCCTCGAACCCACAGCTGGCCGGAGGGCGTGAGGGAGCAGGTGGCAGCGGCGGGTTCCAGGTGCCCAGGTAGCTGCATCTGCCGGTACACCTGCTTCAGGCGGTAGCTGCTCCCGCGAGGATCACAGTGCTCCTCCAGCCGCTGGCCAGCCACCAGGCTGTGCCCGTCCACCCGCAGGAGCAGCTCCTCCGGGCCGAAGCTGTGCGCGTCCATCTTCACCTGGAAGCCCTGGGCGCGGTCGCTGTCCTGCTCGGCCGCCGAGGTGTCCGTCAGCAGCCCCACCGGCAGCGTGGTCCCCGGGTCTGGCTCTGGGAGCGCCGCGCTGGGGCCAGGGGACGCCACCCCGCGGTCGTTGGAGACGCGGCTCCTGGTGCACCGCATCTGAGGGTGCAACCGTGGGCGGGAGCGCGGAGACAGGTGCGGAGCGAGGGGCAGGTCCTGGACGGCGGCAGGAGGCAGGGCCTCTCGCACTTGCCCCGCCCACACGCGCCGGGCGAGGACCTACCCCCGACGGGGTCACCCGCGGGGTGGGGCGCACGGAGGGCCGGGCTGGGGAAGGGCACAGGGCTGCGGGACGCCGGAGGGGAGGACGTCGCCCCGCTCGGGTCCGGATCTGGTCCAGGCGCCCGAGTTGCCATCTTCGTGCCAGTCGCGGCCGGGGCGCCGCTCCTGGGCTCAGTGCGTGTGGAGGAGCCCGCCCCACCCTCCCGCCCCCTGTACACAAGGTGCGCAAGAGGAGAAGCCGAGTGTCCTCAGGCCAGCACCCCGCGTCACCAGCAAGTCGTGGAGCGCCGTTCGCTGCGTAGTTGCTCCTCAGTACTGAGGACTGAGCCCAGGGCCTTCGCACCGTGCCCTCTCCAGACCTCTCCGTTTTTCCATTTTGAGACTCGCTAAGTCACTAAGTTGTCAGGGCCGGGCTCAAGTTCGGCGATCCGCCCTGAGCGCTGCAGGGACCTGCGAGCTCCTCCGCGCCCAGCAGGTTCACTGCCTTTAAATCTCCGTCCACCCTCGAGGGGCCAGGGTCGCGGGGCGTTGCGGGGCTAAGGGCTGGGGTGGGTCCAGTAGGGCGACTCCAGGGCTGGGCTTCAGCCCTTGAGCTTGGATGGAGAGGCGTCCTCGAGGGCGCCTAAGAGACGCTCTGTTCCCCAGAGAACAGCAGTCGTGACTGTCTTGGCCACCAAGAAAGATCAGAAGTAGCCGGCGCGGTGGCGCAGATCTGTCATCCTAGCATTCTGGGAGGCTAAGTCAGGAGGGTTTCAAGTTCGAGTTCGGCTGGGCAATTCAGCAGTTTGTGTCAAAGAAATAAAGAAAGGGGGCTGGGGATTTAGCTCAGTGGTGCCGCCCCTGCCTCACAAGAGCAAGGTCTGGAGTTCAATCCCCGGTACTGCAAAAAAAAAATTAAAAAACAATGGGAATGCAGCTGTTGATGGGCCCTGGGTTCAATCCCCAGTGGTGGGGGGGAAAAAGAAAAGAAAAGAAAACATACACAGCCAGCAAGGAACTCACCTGAGCCCCGGGCGTGTCGGGCGGAACAGTCTGGAAGCCCGGGAAAGACTTCGACTCCCAGAGTGCGCGGCGCGGCGCCTGCGCACTGCGCCGGCGCCCATGCGGCCCTAGGCTGAGCGCGGCGCGGGGCTGCGGGCGGCCATGGCGGATCCGGCCCCGGCCCCGGCCCCGGCTCCGGC